TAATGGCTTCTGGGATTGGGTCTGGTCCTTGCCAAGTTGCAACGGTACTGATCGAAGATGCGAAGTAAAAGTCTGCTGGTCGGGGATGAGCTGAAAACGAGTAAGAGGCTTACCTGTTTTCCGGTCCGGGATACGATTCTAGACTTTGGAGTGTGAGGGTCCTGGCCGAAAAAGGAAAGAGTCGGCGCGTCATCTACATCGCACAGCATCGTACGCTAAATCAGCATCTATATGCTAAATCAGCATCTCGACGCTAAATCACAATCGCAAACACTTACTTTGCACGATGGGACCTCAGAAAGATGTAAGTTGCAATATCCGATTGTGTGCGCAGCTCTGAGTAGTAGATTAGCGTTGTTGTTCTATTGATCGTGGTAGGAGGATTGCGAGAGAGATGAGGGAGAATGAGAGAGAGAGGGCGAGGGAGAGCGAAAAAGTGAGGAAGCGGGAGAGGGAGAGCGAGAAGGAGAAGGAGAGCGAGAGGAAAAGGGAGAAGGAGAGCGAGAAGGCGAGGAAAAGAGAGATGAAAAAGGAGAAAAAAAGGCAGAAAAAAAGGGAGAGGGAAGCGCGAAGGTCTCGCATCGTGTCGAAGTTGTCGAAGGTGTTTAGGTTTGTAGGAGGGCGGGCGGATTAGAGGTTTCGGTTGCGAAATCCATTTGTTTTGGGAACGTCGTAGAGAAGAGGCTGTGCAACGGTTAGTTCGAATGTTATCAACGATTTTCATGACTTGGCACGTAAAAACATGCGATCAGCGTCACGAAGATTCTCCGTGCGTTTGTACGAAGAGTTAGGGGGAGTATACCGAGATTTAGGCCGAAACAACGAGAATCCAGCATGATCTTTAGCCGTCTGAGCCTTTGACAAGGTGGTAAGAGCGGGAGCGGTGAAGTTCAAAGGAGAAACAGCCTCGTATTTTCCGTCTGGTAAAGTTCTATTGTCGTTAGAGTCCTGAAAATGACTTGCTTGAATCCTGTCGTTGCTTGTCCTTCGGCCAAAGACCTTGTTCAAGAACGAGGGCATGGTTGATGGAACGCTTGATTCTCAACGAAGGAACCGAATGAGCTGGATTGGTTGTAAAAGCGAACCATGATGATTAGGAACTTCAATTGTGGTAATGAATGCAAGAATGAGAACTCACAAATTTCGCGTTTCTGAGTGACACGGGAGCGAGGTACGCTTGTGATACTGTCTTCTTCCACACCATCCGCGATCTCAAAATCCAGGGACAAGCTAACGAGGGAACCAGCAGAGGAATTCGAAAAGATCTGACTTGACTCCAAGCAATATACAACTTGGAGGGTCTGGATTCAGTACTTCTGCAACCGCATAGTGTGCAAAGAATTCATGCTCCCCTTGGCTTGTACCATCCAGGCGTTCATACACCCGATCGAAGTAAGGTTTGTAGATGGACGTGGGGAATAATTCCAAGGTGGCTGCCTGGTTAGCACTGATATTTGTCCTGACTTGACCTGGTGTTACCAACATGACTTTAACACCGAAGGGTTTGCATTCCATAGCCAAAACGTCACTGAGTGCGTGAACTGCCGCCTTGGCTGCAGAGTATAATCCATTCCATGGGGTAGCGCTATTCAGAGTGAGACAAGGTCAGCTAAAAGATTGCATCATTGCACCGAGCTCACATGTTTCCCGCAAGTGATCCAATGTGACGATAAGTCCTTGTCTGCGGTCCACCATAGAAGGTGCAACTGCCTGTGCAAAGGTGTCAGAAGGAACGTTTGCCCACTGTTCAAACACGTCAAAAAACGTCCAACCAGATTACGATGTGTTCTCCCAAATTCACTCAGACAGAATGAAGTTGCTCCTTGCGAACAACCTGCGAGAAAATCTCCAAAGCTGCTTGGGGCTGGAAGGCAGCCTACCAATAACATAACAGGCATCAGCAGATATTATCACCCTCAAGAGAGTTGACTGACCACTTCGTGTCCAGCACCATACACTCGTCTAAAACGTAAAACGATGAGGTATATCTCTTGTTAACAAGCTGAGATGAAAAATGACTCACGCAAAAGAGAAGTTGTCGACGTTCTGCACGGCCGCAACAGGCTTGCCGTCGATCGTCATATTGGTGAGTGGGGCATTGTGGAGTGTCTCGTTGCCATACCAATCCATCGCTAGAACTGACGCGTGGCCCTATTAAATACAAGCAATTGAGTGGTTGAAAATGATGTGATTAGATGTTACTTACAGGGGCATGAGTCGTCTCATGATCGACGTGCACAAAGGCACGCTCGACATTCGGAAGCACCTCGATCTTATCCTGCAGCTGCTGGCTAATATCGTGTGCCTTCCACAAGGGGTAGTAGCATCCATGACGATATCCACCTCGACGATGTAGTCCTAGTTAAAACTGTCAGCAAACACAATACATAAGTTAATCAGACCAATGGCACGCACAGGTCCGCTCTGCGTCATTGGATCAAGTCAATATGCAACCATACGCAATGGGATTGAACACTTACGTGGTACGCCCGTACAGTATCAATTTTCTCAATCTCATCGCTGAAGGTCATAGCTTTGTGGATGATGAGCTGCAGGAAGTCGTGTGGCGCAGACTTCCCAGCCAAGAATCCAAATTGTTCGTACATAGTATGACTCCAGCGCCAATCTGTAGCGATCACATGAGCGGAAAGTTCATGGGGGTACACGAATGAAGCGCACAATGACAGCGCCAGCAGAATCCAGCCCTGTTGAATATGTAAGTTCACAAGAAATGCAAGGGTCGAGGTCACGAACACCATCGTGATCTACTTCCTCCAGCAGACATCAGAATACCTGGGGAGTATGATCGCTTCAGGGTACCGAATTGCTTGAAGGCGAGTCGTCTTACCGAATCCATTAATGAAAAGATCATTTCGATGATCCTCCCATAAGACCTGCACTTGGCTAGACTTTGATCTGAGGGCCAAACAATATAAGAAAAGAACGAATGGACCGCTGTTTGATTTGAGATTTTATTAAATGATTGCAAAGGGCTCCAGTACAGGCTACATACCAAGCGCAGCTGCCACTGCGATGATTGCCTGGATGCGAAAACCGTTGTCTTTTTCTTGAGCCATGAGTGCGCGGACGGATTCAACGATAACAACCAAATTGACCGAAGCCATGCTGCAAGAATGTCAATCAGGTTCAAGGACTTGATAGCTGGACGAACATTGAACCTGAAAGAAAATGAGATGATTTCCCGCCGAGTGAACAAATGAATCACCGTAAACCACATTTCCAATGGTTTCAAGTCGGAGCCACCAACAGGCCATTTGTTAATATCCATTGACAGTGCTTCTTGTGAGTCCAGTATAGAAGATATTACTTCCAAAATCGAAAGTAGCATCAATCCCTGTTGCGATGAGGGATAAGAGAGACGAACGACACAGCAGCATATACTAGTGTGAAATATTAGCGAAAGAAAGATTGGACATATTGCAAAGACGTACGCTGAAGTACACAGAGAATGAAGTTGGCACAGAGACTTGCCCAGACTGCAACCCTGACCTGAATGCGTGATTAATTTAGCGGAGATGGGCAGCTCCGCAGCACTTCCTTACAGAAAAAGGGAAATTCGCTTCATCTTCTCTCGCCTCTTGTGTATGTTCTTCCATAGGCTTCAGCAATGATTGAATGAGCTAATCATTACCCTTTAGCACGGAATAGAAACAATACAATATAAGAGAAAAACTCACGTCATTCTGCTTTCTATGAAATTTCTCGAGTCGTTTACCCAGTCCTACGACGACGACGAAGCTGTGAGAGCTCATCGTCTGTCTTGAGACCGACCCGGATCCTGTATGGGTCGGGAAGATCGCTACCTTGAAGTTTGGGCGCCACCTCGATATCTTCGATACTTGTGCGTTGGAGTTCTACGACTAGGCTGTGAGTGGGGGGACTCAAGGACACGTGCGCGTGAAATGGTCACCTCTGATGCTTGCCTTAGGCTCACTGAAGTTGAATTGGGATTAGACATCTTCAATAATTTGATAATTTGATAGTGTTCAGCGCTGCGAGATGTGAAAATGTGATGTTGCGAGTACCCTTGTCCGCTCGGTCAATGAATGACCCTGACACGGACATCTGATACCGAGGGCAAGTCGAAAGGGGATGCAACTAATGATCGCCACGTCAATGGTTCTCGGGTGTTATCTTACAAAACGTGCCCTCATAATCACGGTCTGACCCATCATGTCACTTTGCCATGGCGAACAAGATAGCCACAGACACAAAGTTCGCCTCGAGAATTGGGCTTGTCCTCGACTGTGTAGTTCATGGAAGACACGTCCACCAATTCAATACATTCACAAGATAAGGAAGACCAATGGTTCTTCCACAATTATGGTCTGCCTTGAACGTATGTGTACAGACACCACAGTTCTTAGTCATTCCGTAACCTGACCCGTCTGTCAGATGTGATTAACAATCGAAAACAAGTGACCGTACCTTCCATAATTTCGCAGAAGAGTGCGATCTTCAAAATGTAAATAACCTCGGCACTGATAGGTGGAGAGCCCTTGCTAACAAGGAGCAAGTTTCCGCCGAACACAGCACGAACCTTTGATTGATATATCAAGTTGTAACTAGGAACGTAAGAGGGTCAATGAGAACATACCTTCCGGAAGACAAGGGCGTCCCAGAATGGGTAAGTACTGACACCTGTGGCATGATACTGGTCAAGTTTTTGCCGCACAGCTGCCCGGAAGAGAGCGCCCTTCAGTCCAGGGACATTTCCAGCAGCCATGGCAGACTGATGGACTCGATTCAATACTCTTAGTACATTCGGGCGGGGGCGGGATGGTTTTTCGGGGTTAGGAGGGAGGTTCCAGATACGATCATTGACACTGCCAGCACCTCGAGTACAAGGACCTAAAGGGGTTGAGAGCAACGGGAATATGTTCATCTGCTCGAGTTTTTTTTCCTGAGGACGGGATAGTCTGGGCCGACTATGTGATCTGGGTGATCGACGCCTAAACGGCAAAATCCTATGAGTTTCGATAATGTCGCATCAAAGGTAAAAGATTGTTGGTGTGACACCTGGTCTACGGTATGAAGCGACGTGTAAAAAGTCAAAGGCAAATGACATGTTTGGCTGGAAGGCATCTGGGCGAGGTATAGCTGGGAAAAAGTGAGGCTTTAACATCTGCGCATCTTCCGGGAGACGCAAGTTATCGCCAGTGGAAAACTCGACATCCACCGATGGCCAAGGTTGCGAGTTCGACCACACGCTGCAAGGAAGTCAGCATAGAAGACGAGGTGAGCGAGGTCAAACAAACCTCATAAATATGAGCCAAAGGTAAGTAAGAGAGAACGCTGCCATTTGAAGGATATTCCATACCAAACATGTTGGAATATGCGGATGATGCAAGGATCCCCGTGAGTAAGTACCATATCTGATGAGCAAGTGTCAGAGGGACAGAGAAGGGATGTTCCATACCTTTGGGTTGGCTGGCAGTGCCCTGAAAATCCATGGTTGGTGATGCTCAAAATGGAATACGAAAGCCACATACTGAAGTATAGCATAGCGATGCGACTGTGTCGGGAGATATTGGTGGTATCAACGTCACGTCTTCGAATACCTGACGTAACACTGTAACGAACGTCTGTGGATTTGACTAGTTAGAGTATGAGCTCCCGCCAAACCGTTTGATGTGCCCACTCGGGGTCCTAGGTCCGATGATGCATTATTGAGATTAAATACATGAACCTGTCTGATACAATATTCATGTGAAGATCAACCAGCAATACGTAGGAATCACTTGCAGTACGACAGACAATGTCAAAGACATGTTGAGCAAATTGTCTCGTATATCAGAGAGCGGCGAAGCCTCACTTTCTACCCACGGCAGCAGGTAGCTGTAGTATGTGGACAGAACAAATCACAACTTGTGTCATATTATCACTCCGCAAATCAATTAGAAGTTATTACTACTTACCTGACATGATACATAAGCGAACGAACGCGGTGTGACTGTATCTTGATGATTTGCGTCACGTGTCTTGACTTTCTTTCCAAAATGTGAATACGGCTTTAAAGGCCTCCAAAAATGAGAAATTTGTTGAGCTACTCCGGAATGACTGACCTGAAGCAAAAGAGTGCTTTGGATAGGTCCTTCTCCAGATCGTTTTGATCTGCCGTGTATTGTTTATACGGGAATGCTAAATCTTGGACTGACACTGGCGGATAGTCAGTATCGCGTAAGATCCTAAGTGAGATACTTACGTTAGGTTGTTTCAGTCTAACTCAGCGGGCAGAGCAGTCTGCCGCACGCGTCAATGACTGGAGTTGCCCATCATTCCTGATCCGCTGAAGTGAAGATTAAATATGAGCAGAGTAATGTTGAGATGCTATATGCGTACCTAAACGATGGTATCAAGAAAATCATAACTCAACAGCAATACTGACGCTTCGATTCTGCGCGATTGTGCAATATCGTTCGTGTTCTTGAACAAAATTTGAATGGGTAGATTATAAGCTCCAGCCACCAACCCCCGAGCACAACTCTTGCCCTGGGAGTCCTTATGAACCTGTTTGATGATTCCCTTTAGATCCGAGTTGCTCGTTGCCACCCGATCCTGCTGCGAGTAGCAAGGCTGAGGGTTACAGTTACCAGCTGCAGGATGTGAATCACGATAGCCATAGGCAGAAGCCACTTGACTTGTGCTCGGGTTAGAAGGGGTCGGATAAAGGGAGGTTGGGAGAAAAGCTGGTCCCTGCGGGGCGCTCTGGGCCAAGTTCAAGTTGGACGAGCCGGCATGCAGATGCTGGCTGTAAGCTTGCTGAAATACGCTAGATGTAGAAGACGCTGGTTCCAAGTGGACTAGACTGTGAGGACCATGGCTGTGTCCTCCATGAGTCATGGAATGAAAAATATGAGAAAATGAATACCATTGTTGTTATCCCCGTGGTTAGCGATCGCACTGTCGAGCGCTGTAACAGCCAACTCATTGTTTTTGCTTTTGGTCGGAAACAGGGTTTCCTGGGATAGAGACATCTTCGTAAGTCTGAAAGAAGTGATAACAAGCATGCTGTAGTGAACTCACGGGCGCTAATATCCGACTCCTGCCACCGTGGCTGGCATCTAATATGATCCATTATGATCTTATCGTGGATAGCTGGTTTACCAGATGCTTAGTCCTTCTGAGCTTCCTGCACTTAGATTGAGGCTTTCCTCTGAACAGTTTGGTTAGAAAGGATGCAACGTGATGTTTGACAGAGTTACTAGCATTTTCTCTTGCCTTTCAAACGGCTATGAGAGTTGCTGATCGGAGCCCTGGACATGTAAGTGAAAAGTTCATTAAGCACAATGAAGAACTCACAAATTCAAATCATCCCCAACCACAGATTCAGAACGAGCTTCAGTCATGACTGGAGATAACCAGCCTATGCGCACTGAATGTGACGGCGAAGCACCGTGCAAAATATGTGTAAACATTAGTACACGTGTCTTGCCCTAAAGGGAGTGACAGCTCGTCAAATGTCCAGACGCTCACATTTGAAGTTAATATGATAATATAATAACGGTGACCAGTCAATAGATCGCATTTCGTATGAACTCGGTGAAACTTATTAAGAAATTTAAAAATTCAGAAAGAAAGGTCGTCAAACTCATCATCATCACTTCCTTCATTTCCATCCCCCAACTCCTCGTCGCTAAACGCATGATCACTCTCCTCCTGTTCATCATCAAATTCTTCGAGACCTTCACCATCACTAATCCCCTCATCGTCTATATCCATGGTGCCAGCTGGTGGCTCTGAGCTAAGGCAATCTCTAGTTATCCTGCGAATCATTACTGGATGCCCAATACCAAAGTGGGTATATCGCATAAACATATCGCGATCAACAAATCTGACCCAAATGTCCAGGTTAATTCAAATCACAGGAGGAAGTAATATACATGCTCACATCCCCACGTAATGTTCCTCCCAATCATCCAGCTCTCCCTCAGGACGCGCTAATGATTTCCTGTAGCGAAGCGCGCTTGTTCCACGTTCCGATGCAAAGGCGGGAATCAGGTGAGCTCCTCGAATCACCTGTGACGGATCGAGAAATCCGAATGCGTCCGAGTCCGATTCCTCCACAAATGCAACTTTGGGAAGACGAGCTCGGTTCAAGCCGGATTCATGGTTCTGTGGTGGTGCTAACCACCTGACCCAGAGAACGTTGAGGTGTTGCTTGACAGGTTGACTTACATCGGTGAGCCATGTTTCTACGTGGTATATACCCAGTACGCGGGCATACCAGTATGGGTGACTGGGCGTTGTCTCCCCCGACAGCACCATGACATCAGCATGCGTTCTAGGGTTGACAGTATCGTATTCGTGCCTGAGGTCATACGTGGTATAATGTACCTGCATCGTCTGGAGTGAGTAGATTGTGTGGTTTGGAATGATGACCGTGTTGCGTTCTTCATTTGTGAACGTGTGATCACAATAGCTAATATCTAGTTTCCGCAGCCGGAAAAGGATGTGATCCTTGAGTTTGGGTACAAAGTTCTAATGAAAATCATGAGAAACGTGTAAGGTGTGCACATATTTCGATGTTACTTCTACCTTGACGGCCGGATCATCATGGTGTTCTCGAAGGAATGCAAATATATCGACCGGGTTGCTCCGATTGTTGGCGATATGGTGATGCTGATCAGAGGATATCGAGGAGGAGGCATCAATGGACGATTGACTATCAGCAGAGAATATGCCTCCTGCTTCTGCCACACGTTGAAGGACACGGCGCCTGCGCTCGTGCTTAGCTAGCTGTGTTGGGGTATCTAATTTGCTGGTCAGCGGATAGAAGGCCTTGATAGCTCTATGTGCAAGCTCCCCCTGCCCAGATTTGAATTCACACTAACAGTAAAATGCGTCAGGTACTTACCATCTGAGTTGTGAACGAATCAGTGGTGCCGAAGAATCTAATAGTTCTCACATAATCGCCCATCGCGTGGAACTTGTAGGTGCCGAGATTGAATTTCTTTACCCTGGGTTGGCTTGATTCTGCAGAGGTGGTGTTGAGTTCGGAGTGCTGAGCAATCCTGCGTTGCCGAGCCGCTTTCTCTCTCGGTAACTCTATAGTATTGAAGGCGGCACACGTGTCGCGCTGAAAACTGCGCAATTTCTGGGAAAGTCTCTTGAATGTTTCGTCGAGAAAAGTCAAGGTGGACTCTGACTGAATCCTGAGCTTGGCAAGTGCATGCCATTGTGCAAATCGGTACAACAGAGACTGCACGACTGCATCGTGCTCGGCGGGGAATAGCCCTTCAAAGACCGCAATAGAACACTGATGATGGAGAACATGTCAGCGAGCTGAATAAAAACCAAATGAACAAACCTGTAAGATGTCTTCAAAATCACGCGCAGCTAACCGTTTCATCTCGGAGGTATTGTTCGCGAATTTTCGGATTACACCATTCCCAAATGTGGGGACCTGGCGAAATCTATTGTGAAATCGACAGTCGATGTGTTAGTATATATAAGTACTCTATACGAACCCTACATACCTGCTATCGAGAGTTGCAACCAACTGATTACCTCCCGGAAGCGCATAAAGTAGCCGGATAAGATGTGTGAAGAGAGCCTTCCAGGTACCCAATTCGCATTCATGCATGAAGTCAATGACAAGCATGCGGAATGGGTCTAAGCCGAACGATCCAAGCTTGTTGACAAATTGATTCTACGAGTAGGTGATTTCAGCTGATTGAATATTACGCGGGACTGCTTGCACTTGCCATAGTTGGTATCCAGGAACCCTCTCCGAGAGTGTGCTCAACCTTTAAACCATCTACAGTATTTCCGCCCTTATAGATAAACTCACGCGCCTGGAGAACTTTCGACATAGCGTACACTCGGAGATTTGTCATTCGACTTTTCATGTCTTGCAGTAAGCCGAGTGAACCGAACAAGCTTTTCGGTGTCAGACAGCGAGGACATGCACACAAGCCCATGTCTTTTATTGTCGCAATTAAAACCCTGGAAAATCATGAATGGTCAACAATTTTAAGTAAGGCAAAGGAATGCACTTCTCGGGATAGTCAGCTGAATATGTGAAGATTCTGGGGAAAATTCTCCGCAGTACTCCATCAGAACATTTCAGAACGATACCGTGGCGATATGCGTGAAGGAATTCTTCATCGAGCAAGATATCCCAGCACGCATGAAACAATTCCCGGCGACAATGGGTATGAAGCGCGGCCATGCCAGTCTTTGATATACGAGACAATTTGCTCAACGTATCTTTGACACCGTCTGGAAGCTAACAGGTTGACGTCAATAACTGCACAAGAACCTGGCAATCAAGACGACTCATGAAAGGTAAGAATCCCACTAGGTGGCATGCTCCAGATCGGGGCGATGATCGTACGTACTTCGTCAGATTTCCGAAATACAGATACAGAGGCCAAGCCTTCGCAGTTCTGAAGTTCGCAAGATGAGTCGCATCCGAAAAGAACATGAGACCTGCTATGACGCGCTCTAACGAACAACCAGGCTCCTTCGGCAGTTTCTGCAAATCGTCCTGAGCTTGCAGCCAAGCATCAGAGGCATAGAGTTCATCATATACTCGTTCTTGACGGTCGTCCAATGGATCCTTCCAAAGCCGTTTGAAAGGCATGAGGTGGAATGCGCCTGCCTGGATATCTGAAAAAGCAGCGCGGATTACTTCAACGAGAGAACGATAATGAAACCCGGGAACAGTATATTTTTGAGGTCCTTCCTCTCTTGACTTCATAGGGATGTCGATAGTGACGTCAGCCTCAATCCAGTCATCTGGGACAGTAAAATTTTCCCCCTCATGCCTATCCAATTTTCGTAAGTTTCTCCTCACCGAGAACTCCTCAAAATGTTTGACGTCGAAGTCGTCTGCCTGTACAACATCTTTGATGAGGCGTTGGACCTCAGTCTCCGATTTCCGGTGGCTACCTGAACTCATCCAGGTCATAAGACGATAGACAGACATATTTGAAAACGGGTAAGGTGGCGGAAAGACCTGGGAATCAGGTCCTTGAACGATTGTCGGACACGACTTAGCGAGTAATGAGGACACAATAGAATTATTGGGCTCGAAGGAAGGACGGCGAGGGTATATGCGGCAGATTCCAAACGAGTTGAAGGCAGTTTGGAGTGTGTCTCTTAGTGTTAAAACGATACGTTGAATTCTGGATCGGATTGGAGGTGACGGGACACCGACTTCATCAAGGATGACGTCATTGAAATCTTCGGCCAAATGCTCAATATCATCGACTTGAAAAGGCCTCGGAATCCGTCTCCTGGGAAGCGCGGGTTCCTCTGAATAGTCAAGTGATCAGCAAACATCATGATTAGTAGATGCATATACTACAAAATACGGACCCAAGATATTATGTTCAAGTTCGAATGTATTTCTGAAAGCGGGGCCCTCCAAGTCCATTAGAACATCGTTTCGTTCATTTTCTGAGTCCGAGTTGGAGTGCTGCGAGGCCACGGGTCCTGGGGCACCAGGTAACACGCGAGTTTCAACAGATCCAAGCTTTGTTATGGGTTTGCAAGGGGCAACTGGTCTTAGATGGGCCCTTACAAGCCCAGTCCTCGCCGGTAAGATTTTCTGTTGACATGAGTTAAGAATCAGTCGTTGAACTGGGAGGGCTCCGTTCGTTCGAAGAGAAAGATTACTCACTTGCAATGATGGTTCGGACAGATTCAGAGCTATATTTGCCGAGGTTGCATTTCTCGCTCGCTGTAGTCTTCTCTCAGTTGCAAGAACACTGGATTTCTTGAAAAAGCGGCAACTTGTGCGATGCCTATTCAGTCCCCGGTTGTCTGTCACCCTCAGGCTCTCCCAAGAGCAACCCTGAGCACCACATGAAACCATTGTAAAAAAAGAAGTAGTAGCCAGAGAGTATCTGAGAGCCGCATGTGACTACGCTGGCTTGAACCTGAGCATGAAGTGACTAGTACTAGTACTGGCGTCCAGGCGCAGCCAGCCGGAGTATCCCGGCACCATCATGATGCCGTCAGAGCGTCTAGGCCGTTCACTTCCTGCCATCTTAGTATAACCACATCAACGAGCCATCCACGAAAGTTCACACCCCTGAGGGAGGTTTCCTGCAGCATCCTTCAAGGCCTTAGGGATGTATGGAAACCATTGTGCGTTCTGAATTAACGCAAAGAGTATACAGAAACATAAAGTGGTAAGAGAGAATAAGTCGCCGAATGATCCGTGGGTCCAGACAGTCATTCCGTTGCAGATGCCTGACACTCGAGACAGGTGACACATTCGCCTCCAGGTGAGAGTCAAGACGCCATGAACTTTCGTGCAATTGCACCTTTTTGAACCACGGCCACTTTGAGAGCAAGTAGATGTCACATCTGCGACGTCGCGTATATTATCGCTAGTCGACTTCAACACGCTGATAAGATTGCGCAGGTCCTGTGAGAAGGAATCAGCTGGCCAGTCGTGCTTGTTGGGGAATTTCATTAACTGTAGATGATCGCTCCCAATTCTGGTGTGCAGCTGTGAATCCCCTTTGCTGTTCGAGAAAAAATCGAATCAGAGCAAGTTTCTCCATCGTTATGGTTCTATAGACATCCTTTGCGGTATCTAAGGGGTGAAACGTGAGATCAACAGCTACCATCTATGCTGGAACGCACCAATTTCCATCCATCGACGAAACGCGAAGCACAGTTGGGCTGATCCCAACTATTAGCAGAACAGCCAAGAAATGACCCAGCCTCACGGATTTCTCGCAGGTACCCAGAGTAGCTAGACCAAGATTGAGCGCTCCAAGAAAGTGCGCTATGTATCAATGAGCGTTCACCTACTGCATGGTGTGGAATGTGTGATCCGACATTGTTGCTAAATGGAGAACATTCGAGAGGTGGCGTATGGTGGCGAGCTGTAGCAAGTTCACAAAGGGTGAGCCTGATAGCGACTAAAAATATCAGGAGGGTCTCAAATCGTGCACACGAGACCGAAAAACCTTGTATGCGTTCATCCTCGCTCATGTGGGATACCTCGCAATGACTTTGTGCATGCCTTGCGGCGTCTTGGAAGCAATCATCTTTACGCAGATATCCATCGAATGCACCTGCAAATCATAAGATTGCTATCCCCTATTGAATGCAAAAGATCGTGATCACTGATGCCAGTGTGTTTGAACTCATGCCAGAGTCGACTGCGCTCGGGCTCTTCCCTAGGTGTGGAAGTGTAATTTGACCTAGTGGGACTAACTTCCCTAACACGAAAGCTTCTGGACATTGCAGGGTTGATGGCCCGTCTCACCGTGAACCTGGGTCGTACAGGTGAGGATGGTGCCTGGGATGGTGGTATGGAAGTTTTGTTCGATCTCGTCGGACTGGGATCACGGAGTCCCCGACTTGAGGGCTTAGCACTCTGGCGGCCAATAGGTTCGGGACGAGTTTGGTTTCAATGCTAGGTCTGCTAACCAAAACAGAAGACCGAGTAGGGCGGCTCGGACCCACTTCCGAGCCTTCTGTTTCGCTCTCTATACGGGTATTTTGACGAGGAAATGGGCTGCGACTCGTGTGTGCCGGGGGCTTGGGCGTCGGGTTGGCTCGCCCGGGACTAACGGACGGCAAACGAAGATAGCGAGCACGGCTATTTGAAGGCATTGAACAAAACTGCGCAGTCATGTGGAGGAAAGAACTCACGCTATTTCCTTCAAGTGAGTTTTCGTTTTGTAGGCTTGGTGCCACTTTTCGAATACTCGATCTGGATTATGAAGGTCATTCACTGCATATGATCGTCACATAAAAAAAATCTCACTCAGGACGGCATCGTTATGAGTCTCTCGCGCTCTTTTAGCCAGAAGTGCCTGCGGCATAGAAGCTCTCCAGATAGCCCAATACCTCATCTTGGTTCGTGAGGCTTGGAAGCGGATGGATGGGAGAGACTGAACGGGTGTTGACATATGTGTTATTGTTAGAAAGAAAGAAAACATGCCCGAGTCTTCGAATGCCAAATACCAAACATACGGAAGATAAGATTCTTTTGATTCTGAATGGCTATCTGGCGTAGCTATTGTTTTCGGAGTTACGGAGGTATGATTTGTTGAGGATGCCACAGAACTCACAAGGGGTCGAAGTTTTTCATCCATGTACCGTTCTCTCCACCTATTCCAAGCAACCTGCACATTTGCCCGGTCAAATTCGAGTTCCTTTTCACGCAAAGTAACGCGTTTGTGACGTCGAGCACGGGCCGCCATCAGCCAGCGATGAAACATTCGGCGAACGCTCTCTACAGTGCAAGAGTTAAACGACCAGCTAGATGACCTCGGAATAAGTACTGACCAGCCCGTTTGATATCAAGATGACTCTCCATGAGGCTCAGGTCTTCAACGTGGCGCAAACATATGTTCTTCCACTTCTTGAAGGCGAAGCTGAGGAAAAGGTCAGATGCGTTTTCATAGAGATGCAGAAGGTCGCGTACACTGTTAGTGTGTGAGTGTTCTTCTGGCTGACTTCCAGTTCCTGCAACTTGATTTCAATGACACGGTTGGTCCAGAGTCTTAAAGCATCCCGCTTTATTCGCTATAATACAATTAAACTGAATTTCAAAGCTTGAAAAATCGTCCGACTTGCCAGAGAAACGAGGTCATCTATTTGCTGCGCTGCCAGCCGGCGGAATCGTATTCTTTGATGTTTCTGGTGCCATGCTTTAGGTGAAATAAAGATATTAGAAACCAACTAAATCAGATCATAGATGCGTCAACTTTACCTGTCATGAAAGTGCGAAGTCGACGAATCTCGAGGTGTTCAAGTTTCTTCTGCCTTTGGCGTTCCTCAAACTTGACCTTCCAAGCTTTCAAAATCCTTCGCTGAAGAATGAGGTTCTCCACGAATCGAGCTTGTCTCAGCAGCTTCATCTTCGCCCTCAGCTGGATGCGCCACTTGAGTAGCGCATCATACTGCACACGAGCAAGGTTGCATTGAACAGCGAAGGCACGGCGGGTTTGGTAAATTGTATAGACCTGCCAATACCAAGTTCGCAGAGCAGAAGAGACAGTATATGAATCGAAGTGCATGGAGAATGCGAGAGCATAATCTATCTCGTCGTTAAAGATCCCTGGGATAATCTGATTGCTAAATTACACTCACCTTCAAGATGCTTGCGCTCTCTCATGCGATCTTTCCAAACAGCCTACAAGAGACACAAAAGCTACCGTGCATCTGAGATGAAAAACTTTGAGTATCATGCTTAGCAGAGTGATCCGGAGATTGATGCGACCATGACCAGGCGATACAGCACCTGATGAGGAATGTGAATGCCATGAGCCTGGAAGCCTTTGCCATTGGGATACTGGTATATAATTTTATGCAGGTTACAAAAATGCTGCAGTCGGCTCAGAGTGCTTAGTCAGCGATTCGCCCAAGGGGGCATGGCCAGCAGACTCAACCGTGACTTGAACCCATCATGCATCAATATTGAATGATCGATGATCTGCATCTGCGCATGACATCTAATCCAAATCTATCCCTGGAGTCACCTGAGCGTCCTACTCTCGACAAAAGGGAGCACAGGGCCCCTACCAGTTTGAAGTACTGATATATGAATAGATCGTGTCCGGCGAGTGGGCGACTCACGAGCTAGCCTGAGATGAAGCCGGATGATCAAGCTCATCGTGTTAAGAATTTTTACACCACTGAGTCCGCCTAATTAAGATTCTAGTTGCGTTTTCCATCATGCAGTGTGATTAGGCCGACGAGTTTATGTTAACCAGCCTTAGTACCTTCAGTATGCCTTAGATCATAAGGTCAACATGTATTTGTAACTACCGAGGCGTTAAATCTGCTCCGACATTTGCTACGGAGTGCGGACTCGCAGGAGGATTTGTAGAACGTAAATGTGGGACTCTGACTCCTAACTATTACGGCGCACTGGGGCTGTTAACAGTAAACGATGCATGAAGTTTAACAGTCCGCGAAATTCTTCTAGGTCAGTTCCTTCCAATGAGTCCATCCGGTCCGTCATTCTCTGATAGATCATGCTTCCCTGAGCGTACAGATCTACAGGTTTGAACCAGCCGGTCTCCACGCATTGCCGTATTTCCAATTCACAGGCTGCTGCAAAAAGGGCGAAGATATTTCGAAGCCCAGGTTTCCAGTCATCGAGTGTCTTGAGGGGTATATATTGACGATACCCCTGATCGATCAGTATGTACTCTGTCATGATGGTGACAGTACGGTTCCCGAATGGGACACGAAATGACTGGAGTTGCCCACCATGTTCTCGCTGAAGTAGATTAAATATGAGCAGAGTAACGTTGGGATACTATATGCGTACCTGAACGATGGTATCAAGAAAATCATAATCCAACAGCAATACTGACGCTTCCGTTTTGCGCGATTGTGCAATATCGTTCGTGTTCTTAAACAAAATCTTAACGGGTAGATCATAAGCTCCAGCCACCAACCCCCGAGCACAACTCTTGCCCTGGGAGTCCTTATGAACCTGTTTGATGATCCCTTTGAGCCGGATAAGAGTGCCTTGGCCTTCCGTTCTCAACTTCCATTGCGAGAGGGCCGTGGCTATGTCCTCCATGAGTTATGTAATAAAAAATGAGGAAAATGAATACCGTTGTCGTCATTCCTATGGCTAGTAATCGCATCGTCGAGCGCCGCATCGGCTAACTCATCGATTCTGTCTTTGGTCGGATACAGGGTTTCCCGAAGTAGAGACACGTGCATGAGTCTTGAAGCCTCCGCCTTCACCTTATCAACTAATAAGGATTCGATTGGCAAAGGTGTGGTCGTTTGAATAGCCCGCCTTTGTGCTGAGGAAAGGTACGGCTGAGAGGTGGTAGAAATTACCCGTTTGATGCGTTCGAGCTTCCGGTGGGCCTGTCTGCTCCTGTCCATCCTTGCACTATAACCTTGAGATCCGGGTTGCTCTTGGTTGGTTGAGCTGGGGGCGCTCAAAGCCGACCAACTTGATTGAGCTTGACTCGTACTCGGATCAAGGGCAGTCGGGAAAAGAGTTGACACATTGGAAGCGTTTTGGGCTATGTTGGAGGAGCCGTCATGAAGAACCTCGCCCACGGATTGCTGAGATGTGCTAAGGGTGGAAGGCAGTGGCTCAGACTGTGCTAGATGGTTGTAGCTGCCACCTGCGGGATCTTGCGGCAAGTAAGAAGGCTGATGGTTAGAGTTACCAGCTGCAGGGTGCAAATCACGATAGTCATAGGCAGAAGCCACTTGACTTGTGCTCGGATTGGAAGGGTTCGGATAAAGGGAGGTTGGGGGAAACACTGGTCCCTGCGGGGCGCTCTGGGGATACTGGCTGTAAGCTTGCTGAAATACGCTAGATGTAGAAGACGCCGGTTCCAATTGGACTAGTGTGTTGTAGCTACCACCCACAAGATTCTGCGAGTAAGGAGGGTGAGAGTTAGAGTAGGCATTGAGCGATGGCCCGGTATCAAAAGCTTCAGGGTGATGCTGGCTACTGCCTGCAGGAGGTAAATGATGATAGCCGTAGGGAGAAGTCGCTTGACTCGTGCTCGGTTCATAAGAGATCGGATGAGAGGAGGTTTGGGGAAAAGCTGGTCTCTGCAGGGCGCACTGGGTTGCGTTCAAGTTGGACAAGCCGTCCTGCAGATACTGGCTGCAAGCTTGCTGAAAGGTGTTAGCTGTAGAGGACAGCGGCTCCGACTGGACTAGACTGTTGTAGCCGCCACCTACGGGGTTCTGCGAGTAAGGGGGCTGATGGTCAGCGCAGGCAGATGTATCATCCGCTGGCCGGAGATCAGAAACTTCAGGCTGATGCTGGCCACCAGTTGCAGAAGGATTGTGATAGCCGTAGTGGGAAAAAGCCACTTGACTCGTGCTCGAGTCGCAAGAAGTCGGATAAAGGAGTGTGCCAGTAGGAGCTGGTCCATGGTGAACGTTATCGACAACGTTGGAAGAAACATGATACTCGGACTGGTTGGCCGCGAGAGGCTGCTGATTGAACGTGCTACCTGTAGAAAGCTGTAACTGAGATTGTAGGCTCACGTAGCTGCCCGCGGGATCTTGCAAGTGAGAACCATCGGGCGCTATGATACCGGGCTGGACCTGGCTCCCACGTGTGGGCTCCTGCGAGTAGGTATAATCATGATAGTTATGGGCACTCGGCGCGTGGGGCATTCCGGAATCATTGCCCAAGGGCTGACCGAAGCTGTGGCTCGTTGATTCCATAGTCTGCAGGGCCGGCTGATGCGGCGGTAGGTAGCTTGATGGGTCACCTTCTCCGTGACTTTGTGAATCCCATTGGCCTGAGTAGCTTGGCCAATGAGGCATTTGGTTACAAGTATCGACTGTGCGGCACCATCAGTCCGTGATCAGATGCATAGCACGGTTCGAAGCTGTTGTGCTTACCTTTCGGACTGAAACAGGCTCAAATAAAAGTTAGAGGCAGCGGCGGGCTTGGGCAGATGAAAGTCAATCGCGGAATGCTCTCTTCTGAACGAGGGAAGCGATAACAAAATTACTGTAGCAAACTCGCGGGCGTTGACTCTGATATCCGAGTCATGCCACTGGCATCTAATAAGATCCATTATGATCTTATCGTGGATAGATGGTTTACTAGATCCTTAGTCGTTCAAAGTTGTGCTTACCTCGAGGCCGCCCCCTCAATATTTTGATTGGTCGAAAGAATACAACGGGATGTTTGACAGAGTTGGGATTAATTCCCGTTACTAGTAATTAGTAAGTAAGGTCAGGGTTTATTGAATTGAGCCCTTAGCGAGGCCTTAGTACTTACCACCGGCTCAGATCCTGGTTCAGATCGAAATGTAAGGCTCGGAGTGGTTCATCAATCAACTCGAAGCATACCGTAGCACGTTTCTAGAAATACACGTTGTGACTAGTTAAACACAATTGCGGTAGTCAGCGATCACGATTTGCAAAAGGGGTATTCTTACTAGAACAAATGTTTTGTGACGAGAGTCATCATGATGGTCGACCTGTTACTGTTCCGAAATACTCTGACCCTCGAACTTTGAAGATACGTACCTTACCTCGCTTACAGTACCAGCACCGAGAGAATATGATTTTCGGGTCATCGTTATGTGATGTGTCGCAGGGGGCGATAGACCAGGTAGGAAACGTTGTCCGAGTCATCCGAGTCTGAGTCTTTACCGTTGTCCAGGTCGTTGTCATTCCGGACGTTGGCATTGTCGAGTGCTAAAAGTCGTTCCATATAGTACATACTGGTAGTAGTTCCTGACGGCTTTTCGTACCAGTGTCGGGCAGAACGAAAGGGATTCAAATTGTTGATGGACCGCGGCCAGCGCTCCTAGCTTCGGTACAACAGCGAAAGTTGCCATATACAGTCGACGAGTATCATATTATGTTAACGTACTGCATTTATGAACGCCTGGCAAAATCCTGAGTTATCCCTAATCAAGCCACCACTTGCGAGTAACGTACAAAGTATGTCCGACGAATAAACTCAAAGTTTGAACATTGAACGTTTGATGAACCGATAGTACCAAATGCAGCCTGTAGGAGTGTATTCACATAGTAAGCACTGGTAAGCGAGCGAAGGACGAAAAAAGAACAATCAGTTACCCGCAGACTCATTTGTGTCATGAATGCGATGTTGCCGTTACTGGCGTTTCATTGGTCTTGAGAGTTTCAGCTCTGTAAATAAGAGGCTAGAGCTGTTTCACAGGAGCGCTTCGTGGAGGAGTAGATTCAACGACAGTGATAGTGTGGATCGGTTGTCAATGAATCAGATACTGTCGGAAGAGCGGTTTGAGCAAGGGCCGCATGATGCTACTGTGACGAGAAGTTAGAAGTCAGAAGTATCCCTGTTCAAAGCGACGGAAGCGCGACTCACCTGAGGATACCAACATTCAATGTTGCCCAAGGCACCCCAAGACAATACTGTTTTGAACGAGTACAGAACCCGATGCTGAACGTACGTGTATCTCTACCCAGTCTTCGAGCTCGACTTCTATTCTAGAATGACGATACAAGGGCCTCGAGTCGTCGGAACGCTGAAACTTCGAAGAGCAGACCATTCACGATTCGCCATCAGACCATCAAGTCAAAATCATGATATCCGATGAGGAGTCACAGTAAGACGTTGTTACTAGCTCTTCAAGTTAAAGGCCTTCATCCCGCTTCCCATATATCTCCTCATCATACTTGAGGATATCGAAGACCGATTGCCACTCAGTGCCCGTTTTCTCACGACGGATACGTTTGATGGGGGCACCGGGCAGAGACAGCTGCTTGGGCACACGACACGGAGCGATATTCTCCTTGTTGGGATCGTTGTTGGAGTCGATATTGACATCATCAAGCTTCCGCTTGTGAGTGTTGCGAGTAGCTTGTGCTCGGATAACCTCGTCTACTCGATCAACTTCTTTCTAAGAATTATGTAAGTGTTGCGAACAGTAATACAGACACTGAAAACACTCACCTTCCTTTCACTGTCCTTCTCAGGCTGTTCATCATTCTGCATTAAGCTGGCGGCCGACCTCTGATTTTCGGATATCCTGTCTAAAAGCGCTGCAAGTACGTCTTGATGTTTGAGAAGCTGTGCCATGTTGGTGCGAACGTCCATATACGCAGTGTTTCGGAAGTAACCTCGTTTATAGCTTCATGGCCGCATTTCCATGCCTGCAAGCTAACGGGACACACCCTGCAAGAATTCTAGCCCTTTGTCAGCCATAGGAGTAACGAGAATGATCGGGTCGCTGAAGAAAGCGTGGCACGACAACTTCCTTTCGAATTACGTCATGTGTTTGAAGACCTGACGTCCCAATTAGGCTGCCAGGTCAGGGTAGAGCAGTCGTGGGACTCGGAGCTTTCTTGCAGGCCAGCCACATGAATTGCCTCAACTTGCTAGTGAATCCGCCACAGGTTGTCCTTTGCTTTCGACATGATGACTTGGATGATGGCCCAAGTTGTTCAGTCTGGAGCTGCAGACTCGGAACTCCCATAAAAGTAAGTCGAAAGTACCAGCTTCCCGACTCAGAACCTCGAACTATATCTTATTATATATCTGAATTACATGGGGCCGGTCGAGTCATTCGAACTCAGTGATTTGTGATGCGTTCGCAGCCACATCAAATTCCTCCCTTTTTGGGTGTCAATGTTCAAACATCCAAACGTTCACTGAGTATAAGTAAGTACTATATATGAGAATGTCGATATAAGAAGTTATAGCTGTTTTGAAACTCAGTCACCTCCCTACTGCTGTCACTTGCTGAAATTACTACGGCTAGAATTTGTGCATGGCCTGTATTACTTGTCCTATTAGGGAGTCTAGTCCTGTTTATCAAAGCAGGAAAGGACGCAGTCCACGTACTATCGGTCCTGTTCTGAAGCAGGATTCGGATAGTTTTCCGACTCCGAGTCTCTCTAGGACTCCGAGCCGTCATGTCTCGCGAACTATACCCATCAAACCTCCAACTTCACCGCCTTCATCTGACACGCCCTACGATTCATCCGATGATGATATCATCGGACCTATTACACCTCCCGCGATACTTCACCACCTGTCTAATTATGCGAAGAGCGCAAAGAAAAGACCCAAGCCCTACCAAAGAAGTGTTCCCAACGTAATAGAGCGCCTCTGTGGTGAGGAGTGTTCGGGGTGCACTCGCCCCAAGGATTTGCCGAGTGATCAAAGGGTATGTCTATCTATATATGTTGTATTGCTTATAAATGTTGGTCCAGGAAAGCACTCGATTGCAACGTAGATTGAAGAACCTGACCCCCGTGGCCCTCGCCCATGCCGTGATCGCGATCCAAGCTGACATTGAATGGAGGCGCGTGCGTGCTATAGCAGCTGCTTTGCACGTCGACGCGGTCCAGAAACATTCCATGTTTCTTGATGTAACTGCTAAGAGTGAAGCTGAAACATACGTCAATGCTGTTTCGGAACCATTTGAAGCCGCTTGCGAGTCGCTCGCTAGTCATACAACTGACGAGCTCAACGATCGCAGAAATTGTACTATTGCCGCGTACGAGCTTGATGAGATGTCGTTCACTGCTGCCGACACAGAGTTTGATCATTTTGAAAATATCGCGTGTACGTACGTTTGTCTGCTTAAAAACAATACCACTGCTAATTGATCATTGCAAGTAGTGACTGTCCTGGACTCGGATGGTAGCACCACCAGTTCGGACGAAGAACTTTTTGACTGATAACTGAGGTAATTAATTTTCTGCTATATTGCAACCATCGTACTAATCTCGCGTAGCAGGCGCTGAGAGACTCTGGGAACATTTCTCCCTCAATCAATTCACCAGTGCTATCAGATCGTGGCGCGGGACACTGCGCTCTCATTTGTAGTATTAATTGTGTACCCTATCTATTGACTCCTTGCAATCTACGTCGTATGACAAGCATGTAGAGGCTGAAAATACTCTTTAGACTCGCATCCACCCCCACATGATCATCGGTGTCGATATTTCCCTCAGTCATCTCTTCAAACCTACCATCTCCGGCGTGGAGCAAGTTATTGCATTTCGACTTGACCGGTCCTTGGATAAGAATGGAGAGGAGCATGAGACTGACCCTCGGACGATCTGCTTGACTTTGGCGACGGTAAGCGTGAAGTTTGTTTTGAGCGTGTGACTGACTTTCTCGCCGGACTGTTACAAATAGATACTCCCAACCGCTAGACGACGATTTTCTCATGCGGGGGGATGATATGGTGCCCTATAATCTTGTGAGCAGTGCGCCTTTTTCTCGCTTTTCTTTTGTCGTCGACATAGTCTTGATAAATTTCTCAGTGTCCCACAGGATCCATCATGATTCTGTTTGCCAACACTAGACCCATGTCATACAGGGTACGGCCTCCGATACTCGGGCAGAACCTTCCGCCATGCCTAGTACTAGCTGCAGCGGTCCTTTCTTTTTTTTTGAAGGACTTCCCCCTTCTCAAATCTCAACACACGCCACACCAGTTTCCCGAGTTGTCATCAGTGAACTGGTGGATGTGCCGTTCATTCTCACTAGTAGGCTTTCAATTTCTATCATACCCCTCGGCGTGTCTGATCAACAGCTACAATTCTGTCTGCTTGTGTTCCGCATTTAGAAGCCATGCTCGGGCCAGCCTAGCATCGGAAGTGAACACTAGAAAAATTGCACGTTCCTTGCACCATACCAAACTGGCGGTCGCGAAAAGTAGCAATTTGATTTCAGCATGTTGTCCCTGCCTCCCGTGATACGCTTATGCCATTTTCAGCGTCCAGTTTTAACGTCAACGCGCTTTATTCACCCTGACATGTCCATTTCCGGCTTATAAAATTTGCTACTGACTTAAGGATTATGAGCCAGGCGTTTTAGGCAGCTGCCTTTTCTGATCATTACTGGACGACAATCATATAAAGCATGAGCAGGATCAACCTGGCGAGTCCTGTCCCTCATCTCTTACCCACTTAGATAGACTCAATTCTTCACTTCTCTTCGGTGGAAGTTCATGTCTCAGGCTGCGGTAGAGGACGCATCCCCGGGCCAACCTCCGGAATCGTCACTGGCAGTGGCGACGTCTGAGGCTGCTCGTCAGAGGCAGAAAATTGCTGCCTTAGAGGAAAAGCTACAGGTGCTGGAGTCGGGGCATGCAGTCAAACAAAGGTATGAATGCTATTGACACCTATTTCAGTTCGTTCACTATGAATTTTAGGGAGATCAACTACTACATGTCGAAAGGAAGGGCTATCAGACGCATCGTCACGTTATTTGACAGCATTGAAGACTTAATAGGCGAAAACGATAGGAGGTGCGATTTGGACAGCGAGGACGAAAATGTAACTCTCGAGTGAGTATTTCTTTTGCTTGTGCCTCGCGATCGCTGATTACTGGTTCGTCATCATAGTCAGGAACGTTTGCAAACCTGGTTTCATCTCCCTCACCCACGCTCTCCCGTGGCTTCACTCCAGGGCTTCAGACTTGGAGTACGATGAGTACTCGCACATGCTTAAAAAGGTATTCTTTACCCGCACAAACCATTTACCTTCTGCTGAGTCGTTGTTTAGCTTAGGCAGGGGGCCGATAGTGGTCGAGGGGATGACACCTCAAAGCTCAAGAGCCTGGTCGCCGATTGGGTCAATCAGCGAATTTAAGCCCAACCCCCCGGTCAATCCCGACGACAAATACTGCCGTGGATTCGTCAACGACTCGTGTGGCAGACTTCTTTGCCCGACTGAGCTGGATTGGAACAACCCAACGTGAGTATCCCACTTAAATTTTACGCAACACTAACTATCTGCCAGCGTCAGAACAGGAATTAGGGATCGCGCAGACGGTTATGTTGTGACAGAAATGTCCTGGCCAGCATTCCTGTATGAACAATACACGGCAGATCAAAATGATCTGGAGAAGGGCCTATTCAAAAGCACTCTTTTGCTTCAGGTCAGTCATCCCGGAGTAGCTCAACAAAGTTCTCATTTTTGCAGGCCTTCAAAGCCATATTCACATCACCCTCTTCCGCACGGGAGGTCGCCGGTGATGGTGACGCTGACAATGTGATCCAGGCCAACCGACGCGCTAATAAGGATTCACATTTTGGAAAGAAAGTCAAGACACACGTGGCGCAAATCATCAAGATGCATACAGTCACACCCCGTTCGATCGCTTATGTATCATGTCAGGTAAGTAGTAATAACTTCTAATTTATTTGCGGAGTGATAATATGACACAAGTTGCGATTCGCTCTGTCCTCTGTGAACTCATGGCGCTCGATTGACGGCGACTTCGACTACATACCATTTTGGCAGAACATCGTAGACTTCTTCGAAAGGCCCCCTGGTCGAACAGCGCAGCAAAACGTCAAGCGACTCCTGGCATGGTGGACGAGGTGCATTTCTTACACCCTCGACAGTTGTCCTTCATTAATCTCCATTTCTCAGGAAAGTCTTCGGAACAAGTCGCCGTGCAGAGCTCAGCGATGGCCGAAGGCCAGAATGTCAGTAAACGCTCTCGCAAGACAAAGGGCACAACTAGATGATGCCCTTTTCGATTCAGAATAATTCATTTCTCGTGTTTGTTATATAGCATTCATATGATGTAGTATTAGTAGTTTACAGTGGTACCCTGCAATTTTAATGCCATCATTGAATCATACCTCCTCATTGTGAAACTCTGGGATATGTGATACTATTTGCACATCATGCTCGTGTTGTAAATCATGCAAGCGCAGCAACAGGTTTGGATCTTCGTTCTTGAATTGTCAGAAGTCGAACCTGGGAAATGCAGCATGACATTGGTAATATATGTATTTGCTACTTACTATCCCGCTCGAGAAACGAAATGGGTGCATGTGAGGTAACAGAAATTTCTACTTATTGCTCCCACCACAGACGGAAAGTGTGAAGGCGCGCAGTGATACACTGTAGCGAAAAAAATACTGATATCTATATTTTCTTCAACCGTTCTGTTCGAATGGAAGAAGGTTCTTATGTACGAAGTGACTGAATTTTTTGCCCATTACTCCGCTTGCAGCGCAGAAAGTGTATATGTGCGAAGTAACAGTAATTATTGAACATGCCAATATGTAAGCCAAGCTCACGATATAAGGACTAGTCAGGATACATTTTCGAACACCGAGCTAAGATACCATACTATAAATATGCAACATCGGTGCCAAGCTGCCAACCCTTGGGAAGCAGCACAAGTGGAGTACAGCTTCCAGAGACTCGAAGAAGGTCCCGTGGAAAGTTAAAGCAGGATATAAGTTGATTGTCGCTCGCTCACTGAACACATTTGGCTGGTGGGCCCGGGTAGCGCTTATTCCCACGAATTCCCAATCAATGTAAAGCAGGCAATCGTTAGATAATCTAAGAAAAATGCGTTAAAATTTCATTCAAGACAACGGTTGATTGTCACTGACTCGATGAGTACATTTTCTGACGTGGTGGTTGTAATACATCTAGTTTGTCTATCAGAATTCGTTCCAGGTTCCCTTGAAAATCAGTAATTCACAATGAATGGCTCACATCCGCAAACGATATCTAGCCGACAAACATTAGGTATCTGAAGAAAGTCGAGACAATATTCACAGTAGGGCATACATTTATTCTTGTTCGATACTCACAGAATGTTGCATGGCTACGGACGAGTAAAGCTTTTGTGTACTGATTCGCAATTGATTGCATAGCGGACAAACATTGACTATTTGAAGAAGGTGGCATCAAAATTCACAGGAGAACATGAATTCGTTCTCGCGCACTTGGTAAACGTTTTGTTGTCAAAATTCCGAGCAAAATAAGGAATTTATCGTTGCTCACTTGGTACACATATTATCGTCATCGGGAAGGTTATGATTCTCATGCCTGGCTTTGACATCGTGAGACTCACTTCTGATGCACCAATTGCGTTTCATCTAGCTTGATCATCACCTCTTGCTCCACTTTCCCTTCAAGTTGAAGTTCGAACGATGTATGAGTGTTCTCCCGAGCATCAACTGGTGTAGGAATTTTAGGGACTGTTCTTTCCTGTACAAGGTCAAACATCACAATGTGACGATCGATAACAGAATTATGATGATGTTTGTGATTATGTACTATATATTATTATATATGTTCTTCTCATCTTTCCGCCAGTTCACTGATGGTCTGTCCTCGAGAAACACTTTTTCGTTTCCTCCGCGAGTCGCTCAATCCTGTTATCTTCTATCCGAAGGTCTTCGTTTGGATGTTGAAGGAATAGATCATTGTCGAAGTCTCTGAGAAGACGTATGCATTCTCGGCCGTGACTTCTGGATAGTGCGATGTATGCATTGAAGGGAGATAGGCGAAAACATGTCGTTCTTCCAATGTCCACTAAAACGTGATCAATCGTCTGTCCTTGTGCTTTAAAGTCGGTAAATGCGTAAGCTGGTGTTACAGGGAGTTGACGCCGCGTGATTCTTGTAGAAGGACCTGTGCCCATGGAAAATTTAATTTCGCAAGGTAACACTGGTATGTGCTGAGGCAGAAGTCCGTGCAATGGCGGTAAATCGCAGAAGTCGAGGTGAATGATAACAAATGCAGGGGGATAACGCAAGAATGCTCTCTTTGCTTCCACAGCGTTGCTCCCAATCTTTGGCTCTCTGGGATCCAGAACGATATCAGTAATTCTCAGTCTATACTCACTGAAAATGAAAGCACATTGATTGTCTGAGGTACTTAGCAGTTCAAATACGCTAGGTTGCATGGTGTTTCGATAGATAGATAGTAAATACGATGTTTAGGGGCGCGGCGTAAAATTATAGGATTAATTTTTATTTATTCATCACATTATTACCAACATATTAACAAAAAAGGGAGTTGTCCGAAAACGACGAATATTGGAAGGGAAGCGCGCTAGCTTCGCCCTGTGGGCGGAGCTCTGGGCGCGAGGGAGTTGCACGGTCTAAGTTATTACTTTGTTATTCAGAAAACGACAAGTATTGGAAGGGAAATCGGAGGTAGGTGATAAGTTCGCATCATCGTATCACGTTGTATGGCGTCACTGTATTTACTATTATTTGGAAATCACATAAAATGATCCATGTGAACCTGACCTTGCTTCGCAAGGTAATTTCCGTCGTTTGCCACAATGCCACCTCAGCGCTCAGGCCTCTGACAGGCCTCAGGCTCAGCAGCGTTGCGGATGTTCAAGTTATTGAGCAATTACATAACTTACCATGATACAGCAAAAGTTCATGATGTGATCATGTATCCAATATGGTCGACGCCGGATGGTACGCGTACCGGCGTATGCGTAGGTCTGGAATTCAACTTTGACATTCTCCAAGTCGAATTTTGGTTAGTACTTACCCTAAACTTCCTGTGCGACAGCCTCGTGCCCTCCAGCTGGTCGGACCTGCAGCCAGACAAGCGCCCGCTTATCTTTTCAACTCAACTCCAAAGTGCAACCACGAGCCATCTATCGACTTTGAATACAATCGCAATCAACCATCCATTCTATCTCAAGCATCCTGTAATATCTCTGTTGCTTGATCGTTTCACCATCACTACTTGAACCCTTTTGATTTCAAACGAAGTTACAACTTAGACATCGACTCCTCAATCAACGTCGTATGTCGTCCCCTCTGAGACATCCATCCCCATCGTGATTTCTAATTACATCGTTGAACTGGACTAGTGCTTCCCCAACTTGACCTATTCCAACTCCCATTTTGTGTCACATTCTCACATCAACCTCTGTCGATAAGCGACTGAGATCAATGTAAATACCTCCTTCCCTTATCACCTCTCTCGCTCTCTGACCCGACTGTCAGACCTTCTAGCAATGACAGAAGGAACTTGGGAGAAGCTATCCCAGGTCGCTGTCCTGGGTGCTAAATATGACTCCCCTGAACGCCAGCCCCATCCGAAATGTTTGAAAGGGACCCGAGTGGACCTTCTCAAATTCATCTGCGGATTGTTGGACAAGCGAGATAAGAGTCAGATCATTTGGCTGCATGGCACGGCGGGCGTTGGAAAGTCTGCCGTGGCGTTCACTGTGGCCGAGAGGATGAAAGGTCTGAAAATGACAGAGGAGACAAAAATTGAAACAAGGCTCGCGGGAACATTCTTTTTCTCGCGCAAGCACACAAAATGCAGCACCACCGGTCATTTATTTGCGACCCTTGCTTACCAGCTTGCGAGCAATTTTCCCAGCGTCAAGAACGACGTGAACAAAGCTATCCACGAGACTCCTGCGGTTCTAGACTCCAGCGAGTCTCTTCGCGACCAAATGATGGCGTTATTTCGTCGACCTCTCTGGCACCTGCAATTAAGGCTGCGCGAGTGTCCGCCTTCCGGTGTTTGTTGTTGATGCCCTCGATGAATGCCAACCTGAAACGGTCGCCGATCTGATCTCACTCCTCGGGGAAGCTCTTCGTGATCCTGAACTTCCCGTATTCCACATTCTGCTCACGAGTCGCTTGGAGCAGCATATCTGTAAAGCCATTCAAAACGAAGATATGCGCACGCTAGTGTACGAGATCCCGGTGAACACTTCTGGGGAGGGCGTTGCTGGCACCATTTCATTAGACGGCGAAGATGTGGACAATGATATCTGTACATTCTTGCAGCATTCCTTCATGGAGTTGCGATATCGCCATCCTGATTTCCCTCAGCCCACTGCGGATAAACTTACGCGGCTGGCGAACCGAGCTGGCAGACGTTTCATCGTGGCATCTACAATGATGAAGTTCGTTGATGACGGATATAATGACCCCCGGGATCGCCTTGAGCTAATGCTCGAGCTGACCAATGAACTGCTACCTGGAACGGAAGTGTACGAGCTATACAAACGGATCATCTCCACCTGTTCGAACCCCAATCGGGCATACCAGCATTTGTCCATTGTTGCTGCCCTCGCAGACCCTCTGCCAATCTCACAGATTTCGAAGCTCCTTGGTCCTGTTCAAGGCAGCGATGTCGCGACCACGCTGAAACAGCTACGTTCTTTCATGGAAATCCCCGTTGACAGCAGCCATCCCGTGAATATCTACCACTCGTCCATTCGAGACTATGCTTCAGACTCCTCGAACTGCAGCCTCCCTGGATTACAACCCATCCTACCACATTCCCTGCTCGCTTATTCGTCTTTCCGCTTGATCATTCAAGACATTCCAGCACGCACTACTCTCATGGATGCGCTCCTAGAATTGAAGTCGCAGAATCAGGCTATGCAACCCCATGACCCCCGGAATTTGCAACAGTCATTAGCCTTCATTGTTGAGCCACCAGAGCCGCTGACGGTCCTCATGGGATTGTTATGGCTTCGGGGAGCTCGCGGGTCGGGTTTGCGGTCCTGGTTAGGGACTTTGGACGGACGTGCGTGGCTGCAGACCCAATATGGGGAAGACTATTTGCAGACACAGAAGGGGCAAGACTGGCTGCAGACCTGGGCCGGGAGGGATTGGTTGCAGACCCACGCGGGACGCACTTGGTTGCAGACAGAGAGAGGGCGAGGGTGGCTGCAGAGTGGGCAAGGGTGGCTGTGGACTCAAAGACGAAGACAAGTCGCTGGAGACTCTGGCGAGTATATGGCATTGGAGACGTGGAGCGGGAAAGCCTCGCTGGAGACCATCGGCGGGCAAGGCTGGCTGCAGACCAAGACCGGGCAAGAATGGTTGCAGACCCAGGCAGGGGGAGAGTGGCTGCAGACTCAAAGTGGAGGAGAGTGGCTGCAGAGCCGACGCGGGGAAGAGTGGCTTCAGACCCCGACCGCACAAGAGTGGCTGCAACAAACCCCGACTGGCCAAGAATGGCTGCAGACCCAAAAAGGACGAGAGTGGCTGCAAACTCAGAGCGGCCAAAAATGGCTACAGACCCTGAGTGGCCAAGAATGGCTGCAAACACATGGTGAGTGGTTGCAGACCACGCCTGGACGAGAGTGGTTACAAACTGAAAGCGCGAGGGAGTGGCTGAAGACACCCAGCGGGAGGGAGTGGATAGAGACACACAGCGGGAGGAAGTGGCTGCAGACACACGGCGGGAGGGAGTGGCTGCGGAGATCCAACACGAGGGAGTGGCTGGAGATATTCGACAGGAGCGAGTGGCTAGAGACACCCAGCGGGAGGGAGTGGCTGGAGATACACAACGGGAGGTGGTGGCTGCAAACATTCAATAGGAGGGAGTGGCTGACAACACCCAGCGAGAGGGTGTGGCTGGAGACACCCAGCGGGAGGGAGTGGCTGGAGACACCCAGCGGGAGGGAGTGGCTGCAGAAACCCAGCGGGAGGAAGTGGCTGGAGACACATAGCGCGAGGGAGTGGCTGCAGAAACCCAGCGCGAGGGAGTGGCTGGAGACATCCAACGGGAGCGAGTGGCTGGAGACACCCAGCGCGAGGGAGTGGCTGGAGACACCCAGCGCGAGGGAGTGGCTGGAGACACCCAGCGGGAGGGAGTGGCTGGAGACACTCAGTGCGAGGGAGTGGCTGAAAACACCAAGAGCGAGGGAGTGGCTGAAAATGCAGCACGGGATGGCGTGGCTGGAGACACAAAGTGGGATCGAGTGGCTTGAGACCCAGAGTGGGTACGATCGCCTACAGACCCTAAATGAACTGCAGACTCCAATCGGGCATGCATGGTTGGACACCTTTTACGGGCGAGAATGGCTCTCAACCCAGAGTGGGCGAGAGTGGTTACTGATGCAGAGTGCGCAAGAGTGGCTCCTGACCCTAGGAGGGCAAAAATGGCTGGGTACTCTGGGCGGACGAGAGTGGCTGCGGACCCCAGGTGGACTACAGACTGGACATGGCCAAGAATGGTTACAGACAAAAGGTGGGCAAGAGTGGCTGCCGACCCAGAGTGGACGAGAGTGGCTGCCAACCATGGGTGGACGAGAGTGGCTGCAGAGCGAGAGAGGACGAGAGTGGCTACAGACCCCCCATGGTCAAGCATGGCAGCTGACTCCTACAGCATCTGTCTGGGTAACAATGGAAGACTTTTCGAGCACATTGGAAACAATCAGCGAGTGTGCAATCATTCCGCGATTGCCTTTCCCGCCAGCTTTTCAAGTAATCCAGGAGTTTAAGAGCTTACCAGATTTCTTGATGTTTCCGGCATTCCTGTCGTTAAGGCCCCATGATTATTCTACCTCTGCATCCCTACAAGATTGTCCAGACATCGAGGTCATTCATACTATGACCGCGTTCACGATTTTCGCAAACGAAGCACGGGATCAAAGTCAATTATCTTCAAACGCCTTGAAGTATGCATGTCAAAATTGGGTCTTCCATCTCTCGCGAGCTCTGAATCCAACGGACCACCAGCTCAACTGTACATTCAAGGTCTGCTGGAATCGCCACCTCCTCTCCTGGCTTGAAAGGCAATGGTGTTTGAAGGGCTTGCGGTCCTGTCTCCTTATGTTATTCGAAGGGCAGAAACTTGCACAGGTGTGTTTTTAGTGATTTTCGTGTATTCGGCACCTGACCTACGCACAAAGGAACGCCTCATCGAAGATACAGGGTCATCTCAGTCCCAGGTCTGAAACTGTCGATTTGATGTACTAGATAGATGTCATGCTGTCTTGTTATCTTGCATTATTCACGTCGCTTGTGTATTTTCAGAATTTGTAGTGTTGAAGATTGAATGTTAATATTGATGTTGGTCCGAGGAAAAGAAGACGGTAATAACTTGGACGCCATTTAAAGGACCGCGTCTCCTTGAGGCATGTCGTGAATATCGCATGGAGTTCTGTATCTACAGCAGAGCCTGAACAGCGCCAAATGTGATAGTGATATGCATACTGAATCGTGCGAGCTGCCAAGACCTGCTCTTCCGATGGCCCGTTGGAGCGAAGGGACTCGTCTGGCACAGGGTCAAGGGATGTGAGAGATGTGACCGCCTCGTCCATATCTTCCATATCATCAGTGGCCTCAGAATCGACAATCCCTGAAACTTCTTTCTCCTTTACTTCCTCTCTATCCGCCTCCTGGAGCGCACCGGATTTAAGTTCTCCTTCTCGGCCGGACGAATCTCTACACCATCTTTGGGACGCTGCATGCGAGGCACGAAGGCAGCTGCCTCCGCCCTCATCATAGACTGTGCAGCAACCATATCCGAAGAAAGAAGATGGGGAGTGTCACTAGTCTTTTCATAAACCAGTTGTCGCATCAACGAAGTTTGAGTAAATTGCCTCGTTTTGTGAACAAGTTTGACAAGACCGCTCGAAGCCTTGTTGGTATTGAGAATAACTCGCAGGTAGCCATCCAAGCGAGGCGTTCCTCTGCTGAGCAAAAGCGCCATGTGCTCAACAACATCGTTCACGAGTTTTTGATAGTATGCAGGGCGCTGAGGTTCATTGCTTGCGAAAGCACGATCGTATTCACTTTGCACTTCACCACAGGGTATCGTGTGTTGTGAGCGACTGTTACAATAAATTAAAAATTGTTGGATGACGAAGAGCTGGAGCAGGCACACCAAGGCAGAGAGTTCTGCAACTGTAGATGTGTAGAGATGAATAGCTTATTATTATATAGGCGATGAATTGGACTTACAGCCGGAAGGTGAAAATATTGCGAAGTAACGGTGTGATACTGGTAATATGGGCAAGCCACAAAGAACCTGCTGATTCGTGAGCAATGGTTTGCGTCTGCGGAGCGTGCAAAAGTTCTACCCATAGTACTACCCACGCGCAATCTCCGTATTAGATTCCCTATCGCACCCAAGAGCAAGCTTATTGACCCGGTTCGACGTCTTTTTTCACAGAAAACTTATGGGGGCAAGATCAACCAGTCGAATGGAAGAACAGCACCGTGCAGTGGAAGTTTGTCCAGGATGGGATCCATTCTGTGATTTATAACGAAAGAGGCAAGGATATCCTCAATGCAGTCGCATAGAACGGATAGATTGACACGTAAACCGTTGTCCAGGACATGTCTGAGGAATTTTGAGCGTGTGCATATAAACACAAGGCGTAAACTCACAGTAGAAACAGAATTCCCGATGATATACTGCTGGGAGTAGCTCCTCGGTAAGAATTGAACATGTCCAGCACCAGGTAGCGATTATCTGGCTGTCGGAGGAGCTCGGTAAATGTATTTTTGGTGACACACTTTGCCTGAACAATGTAGGTGGGAGCATCATTCCGGTCGAAAGCGAAACTCAAACTGGTGATTCTCATCAAGGTCGTCAGAAATTGGGGGCTCTTGGATGGGTTCAATCTATAGAAAGATTCGCGAATCCAATTCTTCGCCACTCTCAAACCAACTAAACCGTGTGGAATGAGGGTAAGGTCGAGGTCCGCAAAGGAACCTTGAATGAACAAAGGAGGAGCCAGCGCCTCGTAAGGGTGTTCGAGCCAGTCCCTCATGCTAATAACAGCATCAGCGTATACTTCAGCCACAGACAATACACTGGACGCACCTTTCCCATTGTTTCGTACTAGGTTGCGCGGAGTGCAAGAATTGCAAGATAATTCTTTCAATATGACACTGTCACCCGAAGACGACACGCATCGATGCCAGTGGGACCAACGAATCAGATCGGCACGGTTCGCGCGAGCGAGTGAATTTTGTTCTCCTGCCGCACGGACAATACCTTTAAGAGACGTAGTAGACAATGCCGATGATAGAGAACCCGACACCTCTCGAAGACTCGAACTATATAACCGAGCAGCCTTGATGGAAGATCTAAAAATCAACCTGCAAGCCTTGGGACCACTTCGTCCAGCTCCCGCGTGAATACAAACTCCTGACAGCAGATGTCGCCAAAGGTTCATCTTCATTTCTTCTCATGACGATTCTATTTGTGGGCCGTGATCCCGAACAAAACGTGAAAACTAAGTAGCATCAGCGATGACGTCGTGGAAGCTGAAAATAACATCATGATTTCCTTCCTTCTCCGAGTCCTTTCACACAATCATCAGATTTGGAACCAGTCACGCAACCGTTCATTAACGAGCCATGATCTGAACCGTTATTCTGCGTCAACGTCAGTCAATCGTAGACAAGGAGGCACCGACGAAAGACTGGCCAAATCCCTGACATTCTGGGAAAGACAAGGTAGCGGGAATTATTGAATCGACCACAATCATGATTGAACCCTACTCCCATTATTGACCTCACCACCTCTGGAGCTGCGGGGACATCATTAGCATCACATTTGATCACTGCCAAAAATCTTCAGGCTACACTGGACGATGCAAAAAAAAAATCGGGACTACGAATAGTTAATGCTCATGCTGAGCTGTCCACACATACTTGGGATGGCATTGAAGAATGGGTTGGTGAAGATGGCACTTTGGGACTCAAAGATCCTAAGATTGTTGAGAGCGATGTACAAGTTCAAATCGTGCGTGTTTTACCTCTAAATCATGGATGGTGACTTATTTGCCGTTTCAACCGTCGATCCTGAATAGTCTTTGCTTAGGAAACTCAAGTTTCTTTGCCTGGAACAGAATGCCAAAGATAAATATGTGAAAACTATTGTCAGTGACGATGCCCCGCTGGTGACACCTGCGCTAAACGAGGAACTCCGAGTACGGAATGAGGGGAAGAAGGCTGCGCTACGTGAGCACAAAGCGAAGCTAGCAGAAAGAAGGGACGACCTTCGAGCACTTTCTGGATTCGTTGAAGAAGGCATGTACCGTAGATTACAAGAAAGTGCAAGCCCTCACTCTCCAAGCATCCACGCTCTCACAAAAGATACCCGATGCACGTCTATCACTTATTCGCTTGTGACAGGCCCACCCCCATCCTCGGTTAACAATAACCACAGCGAACCAGCAACTTGATGGCCAGGTAGAAGAGATGCAAGCACTAGACGCGGAACTTGCAGATGCACACGAGAAGATTGCTACTGTACGAGAGCGGATAAAAGTTGGGCAGCTGACGTTGAAAAGCTGAGGAGTGTTAGAGCAGAGGTGGAAAAGGCTGCGGAAATCAGCGCTGATGAAAGAGTGGAAGACGGAAGAGTGACTGAATTGTATGATTGGTGCGCAACTTCTAACGTGAGACTGGTTATTTCTAACTCTTGCTGATTTCACGCAGGTTCTCAACCACGACCTTAACATATCATGCGCTCGTTTCACTTCTCTCTGCGCACAGTGAGTCTAACAACGAGCTGCGCCTCACCTACCGCGTGCATGAGCGTGAGGTGTGTATAACACTGCTATTCATACCTAATACGCGCCGCTTGGCTGAGGCACGGGCGGAGGGCGTCGAGGAACACGTAATCGGAGACGTAGTGGATGCACACGTCATGGAAACTATGTATCTGGGCTTGTATGGGCTATAACATCATCCCTATCGTGACTGATCTTTCCTCATTAATACAGGAGGGACGATGCTGTGACGTCCACGCGACAATCACTTCTGCGAACTGTCCATTACCATGCATATGAATGACAAATAACTTGGCCACTTTGAACGCTTTAAGGACTGGGTCTCCTTGACCGCGATGCTGCATCTGAAATTGTCACATTGTCTCTTCTGCACAGTCGACCACTGATGACCGCTAGTCAATTTAATAAAGCGCTAAAGAAATAAAGCGCACGAGGAAGAACGCGAAGAGACACGTTGTGCTTATTTTACGAGGCGAACGAAGAACAAGGCTGCGAATATTGTATTTCCTGACTTGCTACTGTAAATACATTGAATGGCACCTACGCCTGTGTAACTCCGTGAACACAAAATGAGGGCCGGCAGGCGACCGAAGGCGGGTCCTTGTATACTACAAGATGGGCAAATATTATCTGATCCAAAAGTAGATACGGAGAAATGATATTTTATACTATCTCCACACTCTTCACATCGAAACTAGTTGCATGAACCCTCGACATGTCGTCAACTTGTGCTATGATGCGTTCTGTCGAAGCTACTTTCCGAAACGTACTACGTCCCTCCCGCACTAGCAGGAATGCCACGAACGGCTGCCCTAAACGACCGATGAATTCGAGTGTGCGTGTGGTCTCGTCGTCCGGCTCCTCCGTCAAGCATTGGAGCAAGTCGTCGCGCCAAATGTGTGCGATTGAATAGTCATAACGCGACGGGTTCATCTCCGACTCAATCCTCAACTTCTCCGTTGTCTTGATGTGAAGTTCTTTGAGCCCCGCAACGTTGAGGCTATATTGGTGCAGGTGATTGTGAGATTGGCGTTCTGTGACATCCTCGACACGATAAATGATGGAAGGAATTGTGAGCTTGCCGTGCATGAGCAATGGAGCTGGCAAGTCTTGCAATCTGTGGTGCAGTGCGGCTATTGCGGTCATGGTAACGGAAGACAGTGATTGACGAAGGGTGGACATAGAGTCCTCAAGTGCGAGCGGTTCTGGCTTCCACTTCGCTACTTGAAAGCAGGATATATTTTCTGGAAGACAGCTGTTCATGCAGCCAGGTTGTCCGACCCAGTCCAAAACAGAGACATCCCCCGTTCTGCAGATTATCTCCTGTATCAGGCGACCAAGCGCCTTGTCTTCTTGCTCCCCATACAATATAGGTAGCTGGACGTCAAATATTCCAAACAGGGAATAGGCGATATCTTCCACCTTGGTAGTAGAGCGACGAGAGGCCCAGTGCAACTTTAAGCGGGAACATGTAGGCCCTGGCTTGAAATCGCGGAGATTTACCACATCGACGCCGGTAGCCTCATCTAGTATACGGCATATGTGATCTGAATTTTTATGATTGGGCCCAACTTCGCTATTCTTCAATGATTCCTCCGGAGCAAACAAAGTCCAATCTCGTCTGTAGAACAGGATTACCCTGGGAGCAAGGAGCTCTTGCAGCGTCCATCCTCGTGTTAACCACAAGCTCCTCATTAGCGCGTCGAGGGTAGAGTTGGAAATGTCGGAAAGGTAGATGATGGTCAGTGCAGAACCTCGGTACCACCTAAACATGGAATTGATAGCTTCCTGCAGCTCGACGCTGTTTGTTAAATCAATACAGCAAGTATCGCACCATGCCCAGCGGAGTTGCTGGCTCTTTGTGATGCGGTAGAAGTTCTGCAACTTCGACAGACCTGAATATCTGGAAGTATAGATGCTTTCCCCTTGTCTGATGTCCTGCAGTCGGACTTCTCCACTCCCCCATCGGTGAGAAAGCATTCCATATGCAAAGTAGTCCTGCACTTTGGACTGAGCCTCCCTCTCAAGCTTGTCGTAAGTTGTGATCATTGACACTATCTCCGTGTAGTACCCAGAGTGCTCGAAGACCTCCAACCGCGCTGGTTGACTGCATATCACACCGCTTTCGGTATCGAAGAGACGGGGTGGCGTGTTTCTTAGTAATTTATTTGCTATTTCCCCGATTGTCATCTTGACTGTCTCTGGCCTGATATATTGTGCTGCGGGAAGTTCAATACATACTTGGCTATCCAGAGAATACTCAACTTACAATGTGCGCCGGAACAGGCAGTCTCGCTCAAGTCGAGAAATTTATTGAATGCGCAGATGGCCTCGCAGTATCGACCAGCACCGTGCAGGGCTTCGTGCTTTCTATAGTACCCGAGGGGTATGAATGGTGCCAGTCTGATAGCCTGGATGTTTTATTCGCATTAGTATGCAATCGAGTGCGCAACTCAAATCATCATGCCTGCTCCGCATCGCTGAGTGCTTCTTTCCATTGTTGCTTTGAAGCTAGGGCAAGACTCCTGTTCGAATATATTGTATGATCTGACTGGTCGAGCTTGATTGCTACGGTGTAACGATTTATAGCGGTGTCGAAATCTCGCCATTTCAAGGCGATGTCACCTTGCGCCTTTCTGACACCCCGCTGTGAGACGACGATCGATGAGAAGTCAACAGAACATAATCTAAGATTGCCTGCGTGTTACTAACCTCGGCCTCAGGCGTGAGCGATGTGTTTGTTTCACGTTCTAGAGTCATCCTCTGCAATGTCTTAAAGATAGAAGTTAAAAATCCGTGTGCAGTGGGGGGGTTTCTGAGCTCTTGGATCTGTTTCAAGAGTATGCGTAGTCCTTCCTCGGTTTTCTTCAATCTTTGCCGTTGTTCATCATCTTTAACCTTTCCCTTCAATCCAACGATGGTCCTTTTATGTGATTCTACCAGATTGATCAATTCCTCTGGCAATGTGGTTCCGGCATTGATAGTTCTTCCTAGAACCAATTCCTCTTGAATAAAACAATCATCGACAACTGCCTTGTTCACAAGAATGGGTGTTATGATATCCCAAGCAGACACATGAGACCCGCGAAACCGAGGAATTTCTGATTCATGTGCAACCGTTTCCTGCCTAAAGAGGCTCTTCAATAGTTGCTCGCGTCTTTCTTCCGCCTCCGTAGCGACCTCGCCCCATTTCGTGGTCGCCAGAGTAGCATAATTCTCTGCATATTCGCCGTGCAGCCTTTGAAACGTGTCGAGACTCATGTGTAGCCGAGGATCACAGATGTCATGAAGATAGATGATACCAGCCAATTTCATATTCTCGCCGTATCTGAAATACGAATCATGATTTTATACACTTCAGCAACGAAAAGTTACTTACGAACTTGCTAACCAAACAGCGATGCGCCTCAAGATCTCGGAGTCGTGTCCAAATGTGTTATCAAAACCAGGTGTATCAACGAGAACTACGCGGCGGGAGGGATCGCTGGGGCATGCGCAGAAGGCGTGTTGAATTCGGGATGTACATGACTCCAAGCCATGGCCGACGGGTGTCACGACCTTCCCGATTGCAGTGTTAACGAACTATCATCGAACAGTAAAGTGATACGGTCAAAAATACGAATGAAATCTAGTCTTACGGTGCTTTTTCCGACTCCAGTCACACCGATCACGCTGGATAATCCAATGTTATCGTATACATCTCACAGGATGAAAAAGCCCACAGGATAATGATATCATCCGGCCTCTCTTCGTCTAGTGGCACATCACCAACTTCCTCAATTTGTTGCTTTCCTTCCCATACCTTTCGTGGCATTGTAGCTTTAGAGATGAGAGAGCAGAACAGCGCTTGATAGAAATATTCAAGAATTGGAACTTCAGAAGCATGGCCCGCCGGTAGGCTTGGAATTCCCGCACGTGGCTTTGTAAACAAATGGATTGCGACTCAAGACACAAATGCCATCAGTACTAAATGGATCACGAGTCGCTCGATTCCACGAATCAAATCTACCTGGATCTGCTTGGGATGTCTTGGAGCCCATTCTTACAAATACGGCAGGAGCTGTCGCCCTCCGCATTCAACGGGAACTGGTTGACTTGGGAAGACTAATTCCAGAAACCGATGCTGGAAACGCCTTGCGTGCCTCATTGAAGGACCTGGCAGATATGCATAAAAAGAATATCGAGTTCTTGAAGGGGAACCTGGGGATGGACGAGCAAAGACAAAGATTGAAGGAGACTGAGAAACAAGTTCATCAGCTCTCGAAACAAATTCATGAACTCAGGGTGCCATTCGGGATGCGGGTGAAGAGTTGGTTCGGTCTTCGTTAGCACGAATCCTTGCGTTTTTTCGTGATGTCATGTTATCGATAATCAGTACTACAGTCTACTAGTAGTACTGGTATATTTATTACACACAATGACTTGCTGTTTACATATATAGGATCATTACCTTACTCAAAAATATGAATTAATGCCGCCTGCGTCCACAGAATCGTTAAGTTGGTGTTCTAGGGTCGACCGGTCGTGCATTGTGTGAGGTGCCGGTTATTCAAGAATGCTCGGAAGGAACGTACGGTACCACATGTTCAGCTGAGCGGGTCTCCACCAGTTCACTGATAATGCATTATCTTGCAGGACTAGAACTACTACCAGGTTGTGAATTCATCAGTCACCCGACTGAAGGCATGGATGAGCACGTCCAGGAGAGGATGGCGAAGCTTGGGTGGAAGTCATCATGATCAATATTCTTTGGCAAGGTGCAAGCTTCGAGAACTTCTGAAGAATTGGGGCAACTTGAAAGGTACTGAATACACCCCTGGCCCACAGCTAGTACTTAAGGACTACTACGGGAAGACACTATTGAACGCTGGCAGATTCATGTCTGTCCGAGTCGTTCCTTTCGAAATTTGCTCCGAGCTCGGTGGCTTCCTCCAGATTCTAATAACTCCCAGCAAGTATAAAGCAGACCCCATTCGCATCATCGCCTATTTCATGCTGCTGCTGCTGCATCATCTATAAGTCGCACTTCTCCACTCTCCCACCTGTGAGAAAGCATCCCATGTGCAAAGTGGCCCTGCACTTTGGACTCAACCTCCTTCTCAAGCTCGTCATGAGTTGTGATCATTGGCACTATCTCCGTGTAGGATCCAAAGTGCTCGAAGGCCTCTAACCGCGCTGGTTGATCGCATATCACACCACTTTCGGTATTGAAGAGACAGGAAGTTCAGTACATATCGGTTGTCCAGAGAATACTCAACTTACAAGTTGTGCTGGAACCGGCAGTCCCGCTTATGTTGAGAAATGTATTGAAGGGCCCGGGTGATGGATTTGAGTGCTGTGGCTCACTGGGTGCAGTATCCAGACTGAAGACAAGAGAGAAATTCGAGACAGTGGCAGGGACTAATTGTCATGAAACCAATGTATAAGGCGATATCAGTTGTTGCTACTTTCACGTTGAAATACACATACCTTAACAAATCTTTGCCCTTCAGTTAAGACGACAAGGCAAGACCACAGACCTTTCAAACGTCACTACCGTTCGAGCCAGGAAAGGAGGTAACGATTCCAAAAAGCCTGGAATATGTGGTCAAGCCTGTCATCTCGTGGATTTGAATCACACGAAAGATGGACAGCCCAGTTTTGACAAGTATACTTGAGAGTCTCGGAGGCTGATTGACTCCGTTCCAGTGCTTCGTCTGCGAATGTCATGAAGGCATACACAGCACGCATGATCTCCTCATCTATTGGAAAAAGACTTGGTGATGCAGAGGTGGAATGATGGTGTCTTAACGCCAGGAACATCAGAAAATCTGGCAGTAAACGCATTTCTGGCAAGATAATAAACCCGTTCATTGCTTCCAGTGTGCTTGAAAATTCCTCCAGTGCCGCCTGGACATCTTGCCCTTCCACCAAAATCGGTGTCTGTAGCCAATCTCTACCGTCCCTGGTATGGAGCCAGAATTGCCCGCCTGGGGTATGTAGTCAGTAGGGGAGCTCAAAGTTGAACGCCCAACGCCCAAGCCCAACGCCTAACGCCCAACCTCGTGACCTATTTAGAATAAATAGAAATGAATACAACGCAAACCAAACACAAACCCTAATAAACCCTACGTATTACATCATCGCCCCGCGCGAAATAAACAAACTTATATAAGCAAATCTTATCGATAAGCATCATTGTCACTGAAGGTGATCCAGAAGGTCACTGAAACCGCCCTTCTGGCGCAAAACAGTGTGGCACGTAGTACGGCACTACGGCGGTGTAGAAACAACAATACAATGAGGAACAAAAGAAGCTCCTGACTGTATCTGTAAAAGTTGTAAGGTCGCGCGCTGCCTAGTCTGCGTTACTTGAGAAGCAAGTGCGTTCGACCCTATAGGGGAAGTGAGTGCAGCAAGGATCTAGAAGTGTGTGCTTAAGCGAAGCGCCAGAAAGCACAGGAGCGCGCAAGGTACAAAGGCGCGGGAACGCGCGCGCGTATTAGCGCGAAGCGCGGGAAAGTGCGCGCACGTATGCGGAAATGAGAAACTAAGCTTAAGTAGTGATATAAAGCAAGATAAGAGATATAAGAGTGCAAAATGTAAAGGAATAGCTTTCTACTATATTCTGCTAAGTAGTACAGTGGCTCAAAAAAGTGTCCCAATGTTTGTAGCTTTTCATGTAATTGCTATATCATGTGTCAAGACGTGGGAATATGACTAAGCTATAGGGAGATGTCGGAAAGGTCTGCATCTCAGCTTTATTTCGGTTCCCTATACCGTGGGAAAATAATGACATTATGTGAAGATATGAGTATTTTAATTTGATGACTCATTGGGACACTTTTTTGACTTTGAGTTTTACTAATGTAATCTCTATAATTCTAGTACTGTGTGTGACCTCCTTCTGCTCCAATCACTTCTGCCACTCTTCTAAACATATTCTCTATCAATTTTGGGTATTTCTCTTTGGTGATTCCATCATACTCTGCTGTAACACTGTCTCATAGTTGGAATAGCCCCTACAGTGAATCTTGATATGCTACAAGTAATTTCTTGAGTGATTCTCAGGGGTATTCAATATGGTTGATGTCTTGGGTCTATGTTGAACATGATAGAATAGTAATATCATGGTTTGCAAGCTATTGGTGGCTTATTTAGAGGTATACTTAGGGTCATTGTCTTATCACAAAACAGTATCTTCTTCATTAACTCATAACTTCTGCATGCTTCTTAGCAGACACTCCTGTCAAATGAGTATTTACTACTCTGTATTCATCCTCCCCTTTGCTTCATAGAAGATTCCCACTCCATTTTATCTCATATAGTCCTATACCATCAAGTTTTGTCTTGAAACTTAAGGTGTTTATTTAATTTTTCTTTATCTTAATGATTGTCCTATCTATTTTAATATAAATTCCTTGCCATATGATTTCATCCTATTGATTTTAACCTTATCTAACTAGATAAACCTCTTTCAGCTATTAGCAGTCCAATATTTGTACTTGAAAGTAGCATCTTGTCTTTTATTTTTATAGGTTGGAGACAGAGAAATCTGTTTTTCTTGATTATAGCTTTAAGATGGGCTGTCTTGAGAGTCTGTCTGACTATTTGAGTAGAGATAGTCATAGGAATGATGGAAATAATCAATTTAATCACTTTATTAGCATCAGCAGTCTTTCCAATTAGAATATAGTGATTAAGAGATCTTAAGTCTTATAGAGCAACCTTCTAGATTGGCTACCAAATAACTTAAAGACCATAATATTACTATTCTATCATGTTCAACATAGACCCAAGACATCAACCATATTGAATACCCCTGAGAATCACTCAAGAAATTACTTGTAGCATATCAAGATTCACTGTAGGGGCTATTCCAACTATGAGACAGTGTTACAGCAGAGTATGATGGAATCACCAAAGAGAAATACCCAAAATTGATAGAGAATATGTTTAGAAGAGTGGCAGAAGTGATTGGAGCAGAAGGAGGTCACACACAGTACTAGAATTATAGAGATTACATTAGTAAAACTCAAAGTCAAAAAAGTGTCCCAATGAGTCATCAAATTAAAATACTCATATCTTCACATAATGTCATTATTTTCCCACGGTATAGGGAACCGAAATAAAGCTGAGATGCAGACCTTTCCGACATCTCCCTATAGCTTAGTCATATTCCCATGTCTTGACACATGATATAGCAATTACATGAAAAGCTACAAACATTGGGACACTTTTTTGAGCCACTGTAAGTGGGTAGTAACTAGTAAGTGAAAAGTAGGAAAAGTAGGTCCAGTGTAGTATGTACTGCTGGCGCTTATATAGCGCGCCTAAGCGCGCTCATGCGGAGCCGAAGCGCTACCGAGTAGGTATGTAAAAATATATATGAGTGAGAAACTATGATAAAAATAAAGGTGGAACTATGCTAATAAAGGAAATGGAAATATACATACTAGGGAGCTTGGTGGACAGTGGATGGATGCATCTGGATGGCTGGTGCTATAGGGCGCGCAAGCGTGCGCGCGTATACATCGTGAAGCGCGGGAATGGTGCGCGCATGGCGCGCGTTGCGTGGGAAAGCTGCGCCTCATATAGAGATAGCTGCGGGTAGCGCACAGAGTAATGCTATGAGTTCGTGCTGTATACTCCTTGGTGAAAACTACCATATCACGCCATGAGAGGCATGATTCTCTACAGCGGATATATCCACAGTCCGGCGGCAAAAACACAGCCAAGTGGCAGACTTTGGCAGACTTTTAAATCACGCTACACTGGTACTGCTAATCTTATCAGCACATACAGTGCACGCCCATCTGGCATGGACCCAGCATCACACCTACCACCTTCCAACAGTCATTTTCCGAAGCCTGGGTGCGGAAAACTTCTTCGTGTTATGATACAAGGTTGTGTGTGAGTCGTGGCCGCCTTCATTATAATGAATAGCTTTGCAAATAAATGGATTGCAACTCAAGACAGTTTTGTGAGCTACATGCCATCAGGATTCGTATAGCTAGTGGCCGCATTAGAGAACCAGTGGTGGACAAATTGGATCTAGAATGACATATATATTCTAGATTAACGACTACCGTGGTATGACAGACAGTAAAACGATAACATTTAGATACTACGTGTATGAATGGCAAGTCTGGGATTGCGCCCGCACCGCTACGATAATAAATAATTTTGTACAAAAGCACTCTCAATGAGTCCGAGGTGTGTGAGCTCACCTATTAGAGTAATACAGCATAAATAGGTTGAAGGGTCTTAGAAAATCGACTACTAGTGAATCCCCGCATACAGTGAGTAATTCATTGCGGGGGCCGCTGTTGGAATAAGGATGGCCATCGGCAGGCTACACAAAATACCTCTGATCCATACCTACTCTTCTCCTCCGACTGTGCGAGAGAAAAAGCATGGAAATCCATCTTCGGATCGCCGAGACGGGTGTGACGTGACACGACCTTGAGCAACCATTTTCACGCTGTATTTGCAGGGCTTCTTCCAATGGTTTCTGGACAATAGATTCAATGATTGTCCAGGCAGAGTTTTTCGTGCCCAAAAAGTGAGCATCCTTGGCTCCCAGAGAAATCAGATTTCCCCACTCAGTGTCCGCTAGTCGTTTTTGATGCTTCTCTACTACACCCGACCCGCTATTACTCCAGTTCGCCGTGGTAAGGATGATATTCCTTAGCGAGTGATAGCCCGATAGCATCCGAACAGTTAGAATGGCATGGTTCAAAGATGAGTAATCAGGTTGAGTTATATCGTGCAGAAATATGATGCCGGCAATTTTCAGATGTCTGAAATCAATCTGAGGTCAGTATACCGATTGTAGGACCCGACAACACTCGACGTCGCGCACTCACACGTCCTTCAGCCAGTTAGAAATTTTGTCAACTACCTCTGATTCCTCCAAGTATGTATGATTGAAGCCAGGTGTGTCAACCAAGAATATGCGGTGTGGGCTCGGAAAGGAAGCTACTTGAAACTTGTCGATCTCGTGTGTGCATGATAATATACCCTCGCTCGTGTGCGCTTTGGGCTCCCCGATAGCAATGTTAATAAACCATTCGTGCGGTCAAGTTAGTGGTGTATCGTCAAAACATGGTGGTCCTACCGTGCTTTTGCCTGCTCCAGTCAATCCTAGTATGCTAAAACGCCATTTAGCATCCAGACAACACCTTATGGATCAATAATACTAACAGAATGATTATATCGCCTTCTTTGAGTCCGCTGTTCTCGTTCATGTTCGTTTCAAACATCATAAGCAGGTGTCAAAGAGAACATGCTGAGAGGCAAGGCATGCGCGAGGCGCTTATGTAATCGAAGAACTACTAACCAGGAAAGTCCAGCTTCGGCACAGATCCCGGAGACCCTGTTCGGTTCGGTAAAGGATCCCTTGTCCACCACCAACCATAAGATAACTTGCCGGTGGGTCGTTCACTATTGTGCGCAGCTGGTCGGTCATCGTTTCGCGGTCGTACGACACTGTAGGCCTGTACTCCCATTAGGTATATAGAGTAGTATTATCTTCAGAACGAGAAGGTCGGCGTTCACCATTGAAGTTCCTATGTAAGTGAAACCTGGAGGATGGCCGTCTGCACGGGCGGTTTGCCCGATATCGACTCTGCTCTCTTCTTCGAGCTACATGCTTTCAGGTAATTCATATCATTTAGACTGTATTTTATCTTGGTCCCCCAAGCCCCTAAGTCCCACTTTTGTGCATTTGCTTGTGGAGCTCCTCGACAAACAAAAGGGTCTGGTGCGAGAAGTACCCTGGGTCCCCAGGATGACAAGTTCTTGATGCTCAAGTGTTCATATAGATCTATGATAAAAAGTGGGACCCTGTGCGTCACTATTCGTCTGAGCTAGTCCGTTATAAACCTATGATCGGCAGTTCGCCTTCAGGCTGCATGCAGGATAGAGGATGGGAGCCTCGTGTCTTCAATTCTAAATATATTCCCCCACCAGCAAGCTCCCTTTCTGCATATCTCCCCTCAGTCAACGAGTCCCTGACAATTCTCCAACAACTACGATGCAAGGAAAAAAATGGAAAGAAAGGAAAAATACTATGAAAGATGGTGATGTGATACTGAAGGACGGGAAGCCCACTGATATAATTATACCGTGAGTTTATTCACGCTACAGACGATCATGCAACTTATTGAGCGTATCATCCAGCGTAATGGGGCCAACTGGGGTCGGGAAAAGCACCGTAAGACCACAACCCAACCTTGTTTCACGAGCTAACTTCAACGGTTAGTTCATCAATGCTGCATGCGGAGAGGAAGTGACCACTGTTGGCCACGAGTTGAAGTCATGTATCGCTCGCATCCAACACGCAATCTGTGAATGTCCTAGCGATCCCTCCCGCCGTGTAATTCTCGTCGACACACCCGGTTTTGATGATACATACGTAGATGACTCTGAAATTTTGAGGCACATCGCTGTTTGGCTGGCAAGTTCATAAGTACAATGACATCTAAATACCATTGATGAAGTATGTGGGCTCATAATGTCGATCACAGGTACGGCGACAATATGAAGCTGGCCGGTATCCTCTACTTCCATGATATCAGCCAACCGCGGATGTTTGGGACATCGCGCAAAAATCTTGACATGTTTCGAAGGCTGTGCGGCGAAGATGCCGAGAAGAACGTCATTCTTGTGACCACGAAATGGAGTGAAGTCCGTGAGGAGGTGGGAGAAAGTCGTGAGCAACAGTTGAAGAGCAGCTTCTGGCAGGAAATGATTGCACATGGATCACAAGTCGCTCGATTCCTCAAGCCAGATCTACCTGAATCTGCTTGGGATGTCTTAGAGCCCATTCTTGCAAATACGGCAGAAGCTGTCGCCCTCCGCATTCAACAGGAACTGGTTGACTGGGGAAAACTAATTCCAGAAACCGATGCTGGAAACGCCTTGCGTGCCACACTGAAGGAGCTGACAGCTAGGCATAGAGAGAATATGGAGGGACTGAAGGGGAAGGATGAACAAAGATTGAAGGAGACTCAGAAAGAAGTTTATGAGCTCTTGAAACAAATTCAAGGACTCAAGGTGCCATTCAGGAGGTGGATGAGGGGTTGGATCCTGTCATGGTCAAGGTCACTTCACGTAGTCCACGGCCATTCTACTTAGCTCACGGTCACTTTACGATACCAGCGTTGCGCCGATGTACTCCGTTCCGTGCGGATCAGCTCGTTCAGATATTTACGGACTCATTATCTGCTTACTATACCCGGTCTCATTCCTATGTTTCACATTAGCACTTCCAAGATATTTATATGTGGGAGTCAGGGCTTTGTATCTTTTTCCTTTGTCGAATCAACGCCAGTACCTGGCCTCTCTCTCTGCCCTCACTCGTCACTCGCATCCCTCATTCGCTGAGTGCCTGTTACAGATTGGTCTTCGTTAGCACGAATCCCTGCGTTTTTTTCGTGATCTCATGTTACTATCAATAACCAGTACTAGAAGTCCTGGTATATTTATTACACACAATGACTCGCTGTTTACATATATAGGATCATTACCGTACTCGAGAATAAGTATCAATTAATACCACCTGCGTCCGCAGAGACGTTAAGTTGTTGTTCATCTGCAAAACGACTGAAATGAACGCTTAACTTACGCGCGTTACGAACACTTACGAACACTTACGACTTCAGTAGCGAAGTCATGCGATTGGTGGAGATGTTGAACATCAATATTACACACCATATCTGGCTGATAAACTGAAGCCGAGTTCGATAAGATGCGATATGCTCAGAGATACGATGCGATAGATACGATGGATGCAATAGCAATAGATACAATTGCTACATACTGATTAATCTACTGTCTATACAAACTCAGTACTGAATGCATGATAACTCTCCTTGTCCGCAAAATTATTCAGAAAGAAATGCTCATAGCTTTCCGAGCATGTCGCAGAGGTCATGCTCTTGTCCACCGCCTCACCATACTCCGGTATCAATTCGACTGCATGCGCTGCATCCGTAAGTCGCACGACAGCTCCATGTCTATGGCGGTGACCATTTGCATCATGAGTGTACACGCATTCCACGGTCCACATCATGAGTTCAGGACGGTCTTCAGGACGAGAGACGAAACGGAAATACTGGACATATAGAAGGGGGTTGGAAAGGTACGATGGCAGCTCCACATCTGAACCTCGTCGAATCGTCGGCTGAAAAATTAGTCGAACTTGCGCGACATAACTAGCTATATATGATATCAGTAGTGCTCACTCAATATACAGGGAACACACATACTTATGTTGCCATCCATGCCCGGGCCATCGATAAGAATGGTATCGCAGTTGCCCAAGGGGAAATCATCGCTCGGCGGATAGGCTTGTACTACCCTGCTCGGCATGATGACCCATGGCTGGAAGGCCGAGTGCAGCTGCAGCCGAAACTTGTTCCACACCTGGAAGCGCCCATATTTGGGGTCCCAGCAGGTGTGCTCGTCGCTAGCCAGGGATGAACGATGAATAAAGTCAGTGAGCGTGTGATCAAAGTCGGGGAGAGTGTATTTCGTGCGTATTTCAGCCGGTGACAGTGATTTATAGTCTGGGGTAACATTCAGTTGGAAAGCCGTGAGTGTGTCTCCAGAAAGAATGCCCTTGAGAAAGTGGTTACGGACTGGTCTGGGACCATGAACCGACTTTACCTCGTCAGGGAGTATGCGGGAAACCCAAGAAAGTGCAGGATTAGCGATTGTGACATCCTCATCTTCAGCGTGCATGGCATTGACCAGTGATGCTCCCCGAGAAGTCAACAACGCATATAAATCAAATATTTCCATCGACTCCTGACGATTAAGAATACGAACGCACTGCTCCATGAAATCTTTGCTTTGTCGAGCCATCCGGGGGAAAAGGTCCTTACAGTGTGTTATGAGCAATCGCTCCGTCGTATCAGCCGAGAATTGCATCAACATGCCCAACCTCCTGATCGTACCCTCAAAACTTTGCATTAGCTCGAGTTTTGGAATAAAGAAATCTTCTTTCACGCCTTTCTTCCCCTTCCTCGCTTCTGCAGCGACGATAGTGTCCTTGAAGGTGTGAAAATCCGAAAGTGCCTGTGTCATGGCTTGGAGTGATTGGGGTGAATGAACTGGGTGTTGTGCAAGATATGTGAAGTCTACAAGGCTGCGGATTGCGCGAATAAATCTGGGTGAAACGGCACCTGCGATTGATGCAACGATAGTGCGTTGTATATCTCTATATTCACGGCCCGTCATTTGCTTGACATGCGTGATCCCTTTGGCGAAGTGGCGCGTGCCAACCCGCTTATGCTGAGCAATGTAACGGGTATCAAGCTCGTAAGCTCCTACAGTCTCCTTCACCCATTTGAGCGGGTGATCAGCAAAAAATTTGAAGCAGGTATGTAGAATTTTGCCAGCGAGGAAGACGGATGGGCATGCATATATCCAATCACGCCAGTAAGGCATGTGAACTCCAGACAGATTGAGAGCTTTGGCCGCTTTCTGGAACTTGTCGAGGTCCCAGGGATCAACTGTCTTGGCAATACCGACGAGGAGTTCCAATGTATGCTTCCCGGTATGAGGGGGGTGGAGGATCCCATCACCAAAATGCTCTTGCGTTGCCATAGTCAGAGGAGATGCATTTTTAGCAACTGCAGCGATCATGGTGGCCTCTGGCAGATCGCATACATGAGCTACAAGTGGCGTGAAAACGTAACGGATGAATCTAAAAGGGTCAGGCATGAAACATCCCTCTGCTGCCGCGGCCTTGAGGTTAGCACAGACGAGGTCCATGCATTTATGCCATAGCCGTGCCTGGAGAATACTCTGATAATCTGGATGCACACGGAATTTTACGATCGGCATGTAGGCAATGCAGCGCCAAGCTCGTAATGTCGCTTTGGAACGAACCTCTGAATCGATATTACCGATGGTAATGAAAACCGGGTGCATCTCAAGTCCTCCAGTAAGTCACGTGACAGGAGTTTTATCGGATCCCAAGATGATGGGAACCTGGGTTGCGCCAATAGGGAGGTGGTCCTAGAAAATTGCAAGTCTTTCTGTGACTCGGTGAGGAACGTATTAATAGAGTGAACAGACCTGGATTTTCCATGCCATATCAGCGCTCATGTAATCTCCATATTCACGCTGATTTCCGACATCGACGTGGTGTGGGACAAACGTCATATGGTTTGCAAAGATCAGGTCACTAAAGAGTTGCTTGACCACATCCAACACATCGCGCCAAATGAGTTCGATGGGATAAACAGTCTTGTAGCCTGAAAACTCTATTTTGGAGACTTGCCACTCCGTAAAACAAGGAAGCGAGTCCATCCAGTCCAAGAGATTATCTTTCGTGGTGAAAGACGGTCTTGCGTGATTGTTAAACTGTTGACAATCAGACTTGTGCCTACAGCTTAGATGATCGTACTTACCCATTTCAACTTCAAAAACTTAGTGATTTGTGCTTGAGTGAGGTTTTCAACCAGGAACTTCCCTAATTCCCATTCGCCTTCATCCTGGAAAGGGTAGTAATGGTTGATCTTTCGCCGGTACGCATATTTATCGTCTTCCAACCTATCGAGCATATTTTCACCAACGCCGAAGACATATCCGGAACCTGGATGACAAGTACCAGTGGTACTTGAAACAGGACTTCGACGGAATACAGGAGGGACAGGTAATTCTTGTGGTCGTGCTTCAGGTGGCCAGCAGGTAGATTGGGAATTGAGGTGCGTAATAAGTGACTCGATGGACGGAAACTCTCTCAATTTGCAGTTTGGGCATAACCTGCAAAGGTATGTGTGCACGATCAGGCTGGTAAACCGAGTTTAACAGATGCATACTTACATTGTAGACTTCGACTTGTGCTGCCCTGCCTGAGTGCTGAGCTGTCAGTGATTTGCACACAAGTCTTTCAAAGTCCGCAGACTTGCGCACCTTCACTGCACCCGCCATCACCTGGTGAGCTGTCTGCGCAGCGAGATGATGGAATTTGCACATTTATCTCACGTTTCCTCTCCCCCTCGACCAAGCAGCCTACTCACACTAACTCCAGCAGTGCAACCTGTGTTGAACCAGCATTCTTTGATTTTTTTCTCAAGAAAGCAAATAACTCACCCTGTTTGATGACCTCTGATATAGGATCTGGCTCTGATCATTCAGGTTCTCCCCCAACTCCTCTCTCCCCAGTGGATGAGGTGTCAAACTCTCCTTTAGTGAGAGAGGGCTTATTGCATAGCCCTTCCCGTCGCGGAAAGCGTGACTTCGCATCTCCGTCCCGTCGTGGGAAGCCTGGCTACACACCTGCAACAAAAGAGAGCTTATTGCGTAGCCCTTCCCCTCGTAAATCGCATCGCATGGCATCTCCTTCCCGTAGAAAGTGTCACGCTGTGTCTTCTCCTACGCCTGTTTCTCCAATGAAACCCCACAACTCATCCCTTCCCCCTCGTTCGTCTTCTCCTCCAGCTTCTCCCCTTTTTGGGAAGTTTACATCTGCTTCTCCACTGGAGCTCCATATCTCGGCTCGTGCGTTAGGGCGAGAATGCCGACCAGAGTTCACGGCTGAAGACATTGCAGAGGTACGTTCATTATTTTATTTTATTTTATTTATTGTGTAATCTTATGGTAAAAGCACGAGGAATTGATAATGAAGGGCCTCGCGGAAATGAACCTATTGACTATGTACAAATTATTCAAGGCAAGGCTTGCTGGCCGTGAAGCTGCACACCAATGCCTCGCGGTTACAGCATGGGCAATTCAAGAGGCAAAGCACTTCTTAGAATTTTCTGAGGCGCTCAATGAGGATAGCAAAATGCGCCTCAAATATTCTGATGAAGAATTCCGAAGAATTAGAGCCGCTCTCACTGGGCGTCACCATTCAGAGATCGAGGACGACGGGAACTACCTTCAATCTGTATATGACGACGAGTGCAACACTCTTCGTGCCGTTGCTGCCCAGGCAGACACAATGGGAAATGTTCTGGGCCTGAACGTCAAGAACGACTTACTGTCATCTAGGGGAGAATCTTCTCATCGCCCTCAATTCACCAGCTCGGCTGATCCCAGCGGTTCCCATACGTCCTCCGATTTAGATGGTGATGATCACAACAGTACCATGGACTCGGATGATGACGAAGAATCTGAAGGCCACGATGCGTAGGTCTAATCGCACAGCCCTTCTTTTTGTGCCCTCTTTTTTGCAAATCACGGTATCTAAATTTGACTGCCAGCTCATCACTCGCTAATTTACATATCAGTGAATAGCCACACATTCAATTCTTTCGGACCGCGCCGTTCACATGTCGACTTTTTGGACACTCGTCATTCATATAACTGCTTCTCGAACACCATGCCTCTCCCTCCCGTCCATATATGTCCATAGTCTTACTTATCACAGCGCCAGGCCGCTCACACTAGATCACTTCGTGATCGGACTGCCATGTTTTTATGTATGTTTGGGTGTGCTTTATTACATTTGTGTGTAATAGTATCGAATTTCAAACAATCAGTGCGCTATCGATTGTCGTCTCTCTCTCTCCTGACCACCATATGTCTAACCGTCCTTCACAACGAAAGGGCAAGGCTGCCGTCCCCAAGCCAGCAAGGGGATCAGGACTTAACCCATCAGGACTTCCAGCTGCTGATCAACTCAACATTCCAGCTGAACAACCTTCTGTATCAGCATTCGGTTTCAATCCACACGAAGACAGTATGCAGCGGCAAAGCGGGGGTCCAGGTGAGTGATACTTCAATCGCGAGTATTCGCAACTAACAAGCCAAAAAAAACAGATTGGCACTCTTTCCGTGGACCCACGCAGTACGACGACTCACACGCATCCAGCTCTACATCCTTCGGCGCTTTTGCGCAGCCTCAACAAGATAATTTCACGCAGTCACAACCCTACGACGACTCACACGCATCCAGCTCTACATCCTTCGGCGCTTTTGCGCAGCCTCAACAAGATACTTTCACGCAGTCACAACCTGTTACGCACTCAAATAGATCTGTTATGCGGAGCCCTAAGAGGGGCGTCGTCCGCTAACGTTCGTGACGTAACCGGAAGGGTCCGGTGTAGCGACTGAGACTGGCGACGTCGAGTCGGCAGATATCAGAGACGCGCGTGTCACGTGACTTCTAAGACGGATGTCTTCAAAGTCACTGATGTTCTCAAAGTAAGGACAGTCTTGTCCGAACGATGAGATGGTCGATCGAGGTAGACTTAGGCGCGATGAGCACCTAAGAAAAGATACTAGAGACTGAAGCTGAGGGGGCTTCAGAGGGAAGTATGTTCGAGGGAAGATTGAGTAGATTCAAGTTAGGGAATCTAGTACAGAGTGACCGACTACTTATACTAAGTGGAAAGGGTTAAGGGCAAGGCTACCGTACTGTAGGTAAGGGCAAAGGGGAAACGGAAAGGGTATAGGTACGATGGTGGCAGAGCCTGATTAGTGATGTGAGGTCGAATGCGGAATGAGACCGAGAAACGTTGGAACGAGCCAACGGTAAATGATACAATGTGCAGCATGCACGAGTCAAAGGAAAGATAAGACAAGATAAGGAAAGCCACATTGGTGGCACGAGTCAGAACGAGTCATAGCCCGAAGGCACGTGCGCACGTTGGTGCGATAGGAGGGGGATGAGGGACGAGAACGGTCCTGAGGATCCGGTCAACGGATAGTCGGTAGAGAAGTGCGAGCCGGAGGCATACGAGGGCGAGGGCGAAGGGGAAAAATGATAGGGGGGCCATGTAGCCGATGTTACTTGTAACATTACCCCCGTTTCAAGGTAGAGTTCCACAAACTCTTTAATCGTCGTCCTGGTTGTTATACCATGCGGGGTTGAAGTCGAGGTCTTCGAGCCAGGAGGCGGCTTCGATTGCATTCTCTTCGCGTTCTTGCTCAAGACGAGCAGCGTCCTGATCATACGCAGCTTCGAGCTGCTGCATGTCCCTGTAGAACCGGTCGGAAGAGGTTCCACGGCGAAGGATCTTTCTGCCGTCGAGTCGAGGGCAGAAGGGAGTGAGATGTTTTGGGGCAAATTGCCCACAAATGCGGCAGAAGTATTGCGCGCAGTGTTTCTGTTTGTGTCCGTAGACACGGCACTGGCGGCAGACAACGTTGCTGCGGTAGACCTGGGTGGTCTCGGTGGCATTACGACGCGCGTCGTTGATGGCGTCTTCCTGGGCTTCCTCGCGAGGATAGTGCCTAGTGAAGTTCTGGGTGCGCGGGCGGTGCGCGTGGGAGAGGGGTAGTCCTAGGGACAGGATGGATCGTGCACGGGCACGGCGATTTCGGCGTTGCGGAGTGGGAAGAGGTTCCGGAGAACCAATAGAGAGGTGTGGGACCGTCTCGGTGGGTACCCAATCGTCGGGGTTGAGAACAGGGGATGCAGGAGGGCATTCATCCAGTTCTGGGATGATGATAGAGATGGTGTCGGCATCGAGGATGGGGGAGGGGTTACGTGGAGCGTAGAGCTCGCGTTCGTATTCGTTATAGAGACGGTCGATCTCGGGGTTGGTCAACTGGGTGACGTTGGGGATCTGCTCTGGTGATTCAGAGCGGGGTAGTTGGGGAAGGAAGGGGGTCGGAGCTCTGTCATAGACAGCACGCTCGACGACTGCAAGCGGGTCGGGAGGGGGATTAAATGCCCGCTCCTCCTCGACGGCCATGACGGCGGCATGGAAGTTCCTAAGTTCAAACAGATTTAGCAAGGCTCGTTTGATCTTGCCTTGGTTGTATCTGGTTGAGACGGTGGATAGGGAAGTCTCCCTAGCCAGGTCAATCCTGGCGATGTCGCCGGTGAGGGCATCGGTGGCCCTGAAGGCTTGAACGAGGTTCATGGTTATGTCGTCGTTGGTGCGGTTGAGATAGTTGTCGAGTCGGATTGCATACTGGGGATCGCAGATGACTGCTTCCCAGTAGGCCCATTGCCTGTCTTGGACAACTGAGCGAAGGGATGGTCGTCGGAAGACGGTGTAGGAGGGCCTATCATGGCCATGCGTTGGCTGGCTCGTCGGGTCGAGGTCGGAGGCAGACGCATGAGAGGTAGCGGATCGGTGCGAGGAAACAGACGACGCTGAGGCCGACATAGTGGAGCGTCTTTCCTTGGGTAGTGGCGTAGGTGGGGTATTGGGTAATGGGTCTCTGTTTGTCGACGGGTGTGGATTTCGTGGGGCGGTGGCGATTGCGGATTCGTTGGCGATGGAAGGCTTTGGTATCGGTGTGGATGGGTTCGCTGGTGGGGTCAGCCCTAGTGTAGTGAGGGCGGTAGGAGAAGTTGCGGTGGCGGTTGTTGATCAACATGAGATGGCGATTGAAGCGATCTTGAGTCGCTTCTTATACGCCTTCAGGAGCTCCGCTGCGGACTTCAATTCTGTTTCGGGGAGCCACGTTCGTTCGGAGGCAGGATAGCCAACCCAAGACACGAGGTACCGGCGACGCGATCCGGTACCCTTGTGTTGGAGGATAGCTTCCACTTCGTAGTGTTCTTCTCCATCGATAAGATCAGGAGGAGGTTCGGTGAAATTCGGTCCATGCACGTCTGTCTCCTGATAGGAGGAAAGTTCCGAGGCATGGAACGTGGGGTGGATACGCCAGCTGGCAGGCAGCTTGAGCTGGAACGTGATGGGAGAGAGGACCTTCTGGATTGGGAAGGGTCCATATCGTTTCGGGGCGAGTTTCCTAGAAGGGAATCCGGTGATCAGGTTCGTGGCGGATAGCCATACCTTATCACCAACGTTCCATGGCTTGTAACGCTGGCCATAGGAACGATCAGCCATGCGTTGCTGCGCGAGGCTGTGGCATGCAAGGGCTTCTTCGCGGATCTTGGCGAGTGATTTGACTCGGTCTTCGGCGGTTGGTAGGGTAGAGTCGGGGAAGAGATGGGGGATGCCTCGTGGTTCGTAGCCCATCATGAGATAGAAGGGAGAGGCATTTCTGGCAGAGTGTCGTCGGGAGTTATGAACAAATTCGGCCATAGGCAAGTGCTTTGCCCATTCGGAGGGAGCCGTCCGGCAGTAGATCCGGAGGTAGGTTTCGAGCTCTTGGTTGAGCCGTTCGGTCTGGCCATCTGTCTGAGGGTGATAGGCAGTGGAAAGTGCGACTTGGTAGTCGAGGAGTCGTCCTAGCTCCTTTGCTAGCTTCGAGGCGAATTGGGGGCCTCGGTCCGAGATGGTCTTGTCATAGAGTCCGAAGCGCATGAACACTTTCTTGAAGAAAAGTTCGGCTACTCCTTCCGCTGTGATGGTTTTTCTGCAAGGGCAGAGAATTACCCCCTTCGTAAGCCCATGGTCTACCACGACCATGACAGAATCGTAGCCGGCGCTCTCGGGGAGGTCGGTGATTAAATCAACCGAAACCTGAGCGAAGGGCCGGAGGGCCGAGGAGGGTATCGGGGTGAGGGGAGGTGTCGTGGGGTGGGTGTCGTGGGGTGGGTGTTAACCTTCATCTGCTGGCACATGGCGCAGCCATCGACGTATTTCCTAACGAAGGAGCCCATTCCGGGCCACCAGTAGGACTTCTTGACGTTCCATTCGGTACCGGAACGCCCGGGGTGCCCGGCGGTTGGGTGATCGTGATGTAGAGACAACACGCGATGCCGGAGGTCGGGGGGAACGTAGGCACGATCCTTATAGAAGAGAACACCATCGGTGAATCTCCAATCGGAAAGTGCAGATTTCATGGGGGGTGCGCACACCCCGGAAAGGGCGTCCAAGGCTGTTTTCACAGTCTGGTCGGAGGGGTCGTCAGAGAGTCGTTGAAACTCATCTGCGAGTTCAGCGTCGATTAGACGGGTGAACAGGGTGTCGGGGAGGAGGATACGATCCTCGTTATCCTGACCAGCTACAGCGTGGTCTGGACGGCGGGACAAGGCATCCGGTGCAGCGAGCTTTGTTCCAGGAACATGGTGAAGTTCCAGATCAAAGTTGGTGAGCGTGAGGTGCCACCGGGCCTGTCATCGGGTGAGTCGTTGCGCGGAGCGGAAATAGATCAGGTTCTTGTGATCCGTGAAGACAATGACTGGGTGAGGGTTTCCTTCGAGGAAGTGCCTCCAAGCCTGAAGGGCTCGGATGATGGCAAGGAGTTCTCGGTCGTAGATTTCGTAGTTCCGTTCGGCCGCGTTGAGGGACTGGGAGAGGTAGCCGCAGGGGTGGTAATCCCCATTGCTATCCGTCTGGAGCAAGACTGCTCCGGTCGCGAAGAGCGAGGCGTCAGTTGCAAGTGCAAACTGTCGCGAAGAGTCGGGGTTCCGCAGAACTGGTTCGGTGGTGAAAAGCTTCTTCAGATGCTGGAATGAAGCCTCGGTAGAATCGGACCAAGAGAAGGGGATCTCCTTCTTGGTTAGATCGAGGAGAGGGCGTGCGATGTCGGAGTAGTGGGGAATGAAATGACGGTAGAAGTTGCAGAATCCAAGAAAGGACCGCACGTCCTTGACCGAAGAGGGTTGTTGCCATTCGCTGATGCCTTTCAGCTTGGCAGTGTCCATAGCGACCTGTCCAGGTCGGATGATCATACCGAGATACTCGACTTCTTGAGAGTCGAAAGTACATTTCTCGGGTTTGAGGAAGAGAGACTCTTTGCGGAGTTTCTCCAACACTCGGCGGGTCCTCTGCCGGTGTTCGTCCAGGTTATCTGAAAAGATCAGGATGTCGTCCATATAGACGATTAACCATCCTTCGTTCAGTTCTTCTGAAAATGTCTGGTTCATGTAAGCTTGGAAGGTGGCGGGTGAATTGCACAATCCGAAAAACATTACCTTGGGCTCGAAGAGCCCGTATGAGGTGGAGAACGCGGCTTTCCACCTGTCGTCGGGATGAATGAGGATATTGTTATATCCTGAGCGTACGTCGACCTTTGTGAACCATTGCGCCTTGTTGAGTTTCGCAAGCAAGGGTGGTATCAAAGGGAGTGGGTACGCGTTCTTGATCGTCCATTCGTTGATGTATCGGTAGTCCTGGCAGGGGCGGAGAGATCCGTCCTTCTTGCCGACAAAGAAGAATCCAGCAGCTTGAGGAGACTTCGAGGGTTGGATGAAATCTTTGGCAAGGTGTTCGTCCAAAAATGCTTTGACAGCATCGGTTTCTTTCGGTGAGAGCGGGTAGGCTCGAGAAGACTTCGGAATGAAGCCTTCCTTCGTTTCGATTTTGTGGTCTACTCCCGGTCGTGAGGGGGGGAGTTTGTTCAGACCATCCTTTGCAAAGATGTCAGCAAAATCATGAAGATAGGAAGGTACCAGTTCTTCAAATGATTTCTTCTTCTTCTCCTGCGCGTCCTCCATAGCAAATTCTTGAGCTTTGTTGGAGGTCTTCGTGTAGTCCTACTGAGAAGCGAGGATCCAGAGGTTCCGGAGGGGTTTTGCTCGTCTGTGGAGAGCCTTCCGGATTTCTTTCTTCGAGGTTCCGTCCTTGGTGAGCGGAGTGTCGAAAGAGATATTCTCGATGATCCGGACGGATGTTCCGTCCGAAGCATATTCCACTAGAACTTCATCGTCAGTGAGGGGATAAGTGGAGATCTCCTCAACTTTATCCGCGAGATGGGTCTGTCCGACCCAGACATCGTCCATGGTGTTGAAGTCGGTATCTTCGAAGGGCACGATGATTGGCGCCGTCTTCTTCTTGTTACGCTTCTTGCGTTTCTTGATTTCCTCGAGGCAATGTTGAGTGCCTTTGGGGAGTCGCTTGAGGGGCGAAAAGTCCTCGTCGTCGAGTTCTTCTAGGACAGCCTTTTCTCCACGAAAGAGATATGGCTTGGCCTTGCTTTCTCGCCGGGAGGCGTTAAGTTCCCTCTCCACCTCCTTTGACCTATTGGTCGCAGGCAGGGAGATCGTGTTGGCCTTCCAGTCGATTTCGGGCATCATGGCACTAAGCCAAGGTTTTCCAAAAAGTAGATCATCATGCTTGGAAAGTTTCGTTACGTTGAACTTTCCATACATAAGTCTCCGATCGAGACGAATGAATAGCATGCAGTATTGGGTCACCTGTCCTGCCGAGGACGGGCTTCCGTCTACTGTGGTGATCCGGAAGGGTTTCTTGAGTAGGTGGGTCCGGATCCCATTTCGCTTGACGAAGTCATAGCTAATGAAGGTCCCACCTGCCCCTGAGTCGATGATGGCGGTCGACTGAACGGTTTTGGCACTGCAAGAAGAGAAAAGTGTCACCGGGACACGAAACTCGTTGGATTTACCAACAGCTTTAGTATACAATGCGCAGATAGAGGGAATTGACCGTTCGACAAGCCCTCTCTTTAAAAATCCTTTCTTTTGACAAGGTTGACTTCCATGTCTTCCTCGTCAGAAGACTCGTCAAGCTGGCGGACGCCAGACTTGCTTGGCTTCTTGCCTTTGTCTTCTTCGTCGTTCTTGTCTCCTCGGCGCACCTTCGGGTGGAACCGGGAGTCGTTTGCTCGATGGCCCTTCTCCTTGCATTTGAAGCAAAGGCCTTTATCGAAGCACTTCTGTCGTTCCTCAGGCGTGAGGGAACGATCAACGTCCATAGCATCAGGATCGCGTTGGCGGACCTGAGGCTTGGGGACGTGCCGGTGCCCGGAAGGGCGTACCGATCTGTTGTTGGACACAACTGCTCTTGATCGCTTGTAGTTGGCTTCCAACTGTGTCGCGGCAGTGTACCATTTATCAATGGTGTTGGGGACGACCTCCTTCGTGTAGATGGCAGTTCGAAGTCCTGGTTTCAACCCTCTTTCGAAGAAGTGGATGAGGGCGACGTCCTGCTTGAGACTAGCAGTGGACGACAGGGTTTTGAACGTTGCGATGTAGGGCATCACGTCGCCAGTCTGGGTCAAACCATGAAGCTTGGTTAGAGCCTCAGTCATCCGGTCGACCGGGTGGAAGGATTCGGTGAAAGCCTTCTTGAAGTCCTTCCAGCTACCGAAGTCGACGGGAGTTTTGTCGAAGGCTGCTCGGTAGAAGGTGTTGGCCCAGACGCGGGCGTCTCCATCGTTCATATACTGGAGTGCAACAGCGACCTTGGTTTGGTCGGAGCTGTAGATCGTCGAGTTGATGAGGAAGTATGTCTCCACCGAGTACATCCAGCGCTCGGCATCATCGATGCTTCCTCCATAGTTCTGTGGTACTCCAGCCTTTAGTTCAGGCCTGGATACGACCACTGTCGGTTGCGGGGTGGGGCCTCCGGACATTCTTGTTCCAGGGTTCGAGTTGAGGTTACCGTACGGTTGTTCGTCGGGAAACTCGTCGGAGGACGTATGGTCTTCTTCCGATTCTTCTTCTTCGGAGTCCGGAGTGTTGGGATCGCGTTCCCAAGGATACTTCGGGGTCCAGGTAGTCGTGGTGTCTGTCGGTTAATGGCCGTGCGGATGGCAGGGCGCAAAAAGGGGAAACTTGAATCTTTTGTTACGCACTCAAATAGATCTGTTATGCGGAGCCCTAAGAGGGGCGTCGTCCGCTAACGTTCGTGACGTAACCGGAAGGGTCCGGTGTAGCGACTGAGACTGGCGACGTCGAGTCGGCAGATATCAGAGACGCGCGTGTCACGTGACTTCTAAGACGGATGTCTTCAAAGTCACTGATGTTCTCAAAGTAAGGACAGTCTTGTCCGAACGATGAGATGGTCGATCGAGGTAGACTTAGGCGCGATGAGCACCTAAGAAAAGATACTAGAGACTGAAGCTGAGGGGGCTTCAGAGGGAAGTATGTTCGAGGGAAGATTGAGTAGATTCAAGTTAGGGAATCTAGTACAGAGTGACCGACTACTTATACTAAGTGGAAAGGGTTAAGGGCAAGGCTACCGTACTGTAGGTAAGGGCAAAGGGGAAACGGAAAGGGTATAGGTACGATGGTGGCAGAGCCTGATTAGTGATGTGAGGTCGAATGCGGAATGAGACCGAGAAACGTTGGAACGAGCCAACGGTAAATGATACAATGTGCAGCATGCACGAGTCAAAGGAAAGATAAGACAAGATAAGGAAAGCCACATTGGTGGCACGAGTCAGAACGAGTCATAGCCCGAAGGCACGTGCGCACGTTGGTGCGATAGGAGGGGGATGAGGGACGAGAACGGTCCTGAGGATCCGGTCAACGGATAGTCGGTAGAGAAGTGCGAGCCGGAGGCATACGAGGGCGAGGGCGAAGGGGAAAAATGATAGGGGGGCCATGTAGCCGATGTTACTTGTAACACAACCCAATCTTTTGCAGCCTCACTATGGTACATCCTACGACGGGTACGTTTATAATCAAGATGGATTTGGAGACACGGGGGGCCAGCCATACAGCGGCTCGTCCTTAAGCAACCCCCAACCCAATCCTTCGCAGCCCCATGACAATGGTACATCCTATGATGGGTACCCTTATGATCAAGACAGATTCGGAGACACGGGGGACCAGCTGTACGACGGCTCGTCCTTAGGAACGCTCGGAGCCCCTCAAGAGGGTACCCACGTGCACGGAACACCCTTACCGCCGTGGATTGATGAAGCTTCCGATGGAGGAGTCAGTGTGATAGACCGAGGGACAGGCTTTGTTCCCCCGGCTACCAATCTAGCTCTCTTACGGCGAGGGGAAATTCCTCGAGAAGAGGTCGTTCATGTAAGTCTTTCATTTATTGTGCTACCCTAACTAACAGCTACATAGACCCAGGGGCCGGCACGTACTACGAAAAAATGGAATACCAGGCCTAACCTACCAGGAACACCATACCTTGTCCCACAAGCCCCCCGCACCACCACCGAACCACAGACACGCGCCGCAACATCATCACAAGCACAAACGACGGCACTACAAATACCTGTCGCCACCGAACATTCAGCGCCGACGTTGAAGACTGTTCGTGTGTCGAATGACGACATCAACGACGCTGTGAAGGGAGGGAAAGTCCTGATTGCGCGGGTGATGTTTACCAAACATGCAATGACGCAGAAGCGGAAAAAACGCGTCACTCAATTTGAGGACGCAATCAAAGACTCGACACCTCGTTGTTTGGAAGCTGATGGTGAGTTTTTCTTTCAATCATTCATATAATCGTACTAATATTGTAGTTGTCATTGAAAACTTCATAACTAACGCCCATCGGAGACAAGTGTCAAACGCATTGTCCAGTATACACGGGAAAATCGCTCAATTTGCGCGCGACGGTGTCTTCGTGTCATACAAGCTGTTTCCCCCACGAGGGAGCACCATCGCAGCAGCACAAACGCATCGCATCGCAATGGTGAACAAACTCATACGGGGCATTGATCCCCTACTCTTCATGCATGCATATTCTGTGGACGAGGTACGTCGCTCTCACACTTCTGGTGCTTCACTAACTATAAGTCTTTCAGCACGGGAATATCACCATTGATGCCAAATTTCAGAATGCGTTTATCATGGCTGGCGTCGTTCGTTTTGTGTGGCGCGAGGGCTGCGAAGCCTTTCTTGGTGCCTCGCCACTGAAGGCCATCAAATATGTGATGGCCTCAGTTGGCAGCGGTACTCACTGTGCATTGCAGGAACAGCGCTCCGCTGTTATCACCGTCGACGCTTTTGGTGGTCAACACCACGAAGAAAAATTCAAGGAGATCGTGCAAGCGTTCGATGACCTCACGGACGAAGAAAAACTCGAGTTAGAAAGTTATTTGCAGTACGTGCTGGATGTCAGACCATCGCAGGCAGGCAATGGAGAGAGCTCATCCGATTCTGAATAATATTTTACTACATGTATAGCTTGTTCATTGTAGTATAGTGTAATCAAGATTATCATTGGATGCTCATGATCATATCAGTACTAGATGTGTTGATAATCAATGCGATACGACGAGATCTTTTAACTAACCTAAAAACGAGCACTCAGGGTGCAACATAACCAAAAACGAACGTTTACGAACGCGAGACCTGAGCTAACTATTTTCAAAACGCTCGCAAGCACTCGCAAGCGACTTTTCAACGGACCCAGATTTTTAGATGTTCTGGGGTTAACGTTGACCGGTTGTGCATTGTGGCATCTAAGAGAGGGTTCGTGTTCGAACCGAGTTTAAAACATGTCTGAAACTGCTCGGATATGGTATAGTCAGGTCAGGCATCTGTAATGACTGTTTTAAGTACTCCGGTATACGTTTGGCATTCGTAATACTAATATCTGACTGTTTGAAGCACTCCGGTATACATTTTAATAATTTATTGTAGGTAGAATCACAAAATTTGTGGGAATCTAACACAAAAACTACGAACTATGCTAAAACTGCGAACTATAGTCCAAATTCTACGTTTCAATAGTCAAGTCGAAATTGGAAAGAATGGCAGTAGACCCCTGTTGCGACCTCCCACAAACAATCAGATGGTCTTTCCATCTATCAAGACTTGCCTTCTCCTCCTCACTGAGAGAATTTTAAAAAAAATTAACGCTATCGAATATCGTCTTGTTCTCAGTCGGTGAGAACTTCTGCTTCGTGAATATTAGTTGGCCTTGTTCCAATAATGCATGCTCCGTTATTGAACATGCAAGGCAGTACACATGATGCAGTGCCTCACGAGGTGATTGGTGGTTGCCGAGTAGCGCGTGAAGTCCGTGATTCGATAGCCAGATGAGTTTGATGAGCAGGGTGAATATGAATTTATTCTGGCATTTGTTGTGAATGATCACCGTCCCGTCCTAAGCCTTAGTTAGATCTTGATTTCGAAACAAAAAATAAACATACTTGAGAAAATGAATGTTTGTGCATATAGGCCTTGTCTCACACAAGACTAGCTACTCGATTGACACGAAATTGATCTGGCGGGATGTTGGAATCGTGTTCGGGGAGCAGGTCGTATGCCATCACCACGTTTTGTCGCGCAATTGTCATCATCGTTGAACGCACTAGGACCACTCCCCGCCAAATCGTCGGCACATCTTTCAGCGTCGATGGCCATCGATTTAGCCCTACTATTCATTCAGTATAAGCTAAAAGAGTCTTCATTGAACTTACCGTGAAGGCTCGGAATGGAAGGCGCTGATGCTTTGATCATATCCCTGACGAGGCGACTCTGGTCCTCAGATTTTGATGCGATTGCATCAGGCGTGAAGATGGTGCCCTTGATAAGGTCTCGCGAGCGGCTGTAGACTTGCTCGCAGTCTGCTGCACTGACCTTGACCTGGATGACAACGTCACTCGATGTTGTAGCCGAGGACAGGCCAGGATTTGGAGTGCGCGTTGGGGATGGAGGCGGGCTGGGATTTGGGGTATGCATTGGGCATGGGGGCGCCAAATAAGGCGCCAACGACGGTGTTGAAGGCATACGTCGGGAGCGTCGGCATCTTTCGATAGAGCGCACCGGACCCAAAGTCTGTTATCATTAAAACATGTAGTAAGATATATAACATTAAGTACTCACATGTATCACGTTGGATACCGGTATTTCGTCCAGTATGGGATTGTGTGTCAGTGCGCATGCGGCGTCGGCATCACTGCCCAACCAATGAGGTATGGGCCCGATAAGGTGGGAGCTCGGTGCTGAACATGGTGTGTTTGTTAGAAAATGATTTATGATGAAAAGAAAAAATATGTACGTGACACGAGTGACGGAACATTGTAGTTGATGTTTGAGGGACCAGCCCTTGGGGATTGAGCGCCAGACAAGGACTGGGAGGAGGACTGGGCACTATAGCCGGCAGCAGAGAGAGAGTTGGTGTGATTGGCACTAGAGAGAGAGTTGGTGTACCCGGCGCTAGAGAGAGAGTTGGTGTACCCGGCGTTAGAGAGCGAGTTGGTGTACCCGGCGTTAGAGAGCGAGTTGGTGTACCCGGCATTAGAGAGCGAGTTAGTGTACCCGGCGCCTAAGAGCGAGTTGGTGTACCCGGCACCTGAGCTACTATCTCCAGGATTTGAGTAGCCGGGACTTGGCCTATTGTTATTTTGAGTCTGAGTCCGCGACAAAAGAGATGGGAAGACTCACTGATTATATGTACCAAAGGTGTGCTGTCGCTGATGTGGATCGAAGTTAGACATTTCCGGAGGCCGCGGTTGTTCGTCGGGAATATTGATCTGCGTGTCCACAGGCGCGTGGGAAGGGTTGAGACCAGATCCTCGAGGAGGTTTTGGAATTGTGGTTTTACCTTTGCGCGGCGCACGACGTTGGGTACTCATCAAGGTAGAATCACTTGGGGGAGGGCAAAGGGCATATCAATTACAATTCTAATACAAACGGAGATATGCGAATGCAAACAAACTATACAGCTTGTGACTTGATGTACTTGTGACTGTGAGGTTAAAGAAGCGGAGAAAGAAGGGGCGAGGAGGTAAAAAACGGTGTGCATATGACAAACTAACACGGTCTGGAAGAAGGCTATGATGAAAGGGTGTCGTGTGTATTACAACATTCCTTATCAATCAATCAGTGTGGAGTAATAATCAGACACATGAATCGACTTACCACGATAAGAAGTCACATTGCAGTGGCCACACAAGATGCTTTGGGACGAATTCCAAGGTTATCAGGGGTTCCCAGATATATAGGGTTGTCGTCGTCATCAGGAACCCCGCCGGCAGTGGGGGATCCGGAACCATCGGCCCCAGATTCTACAGATGCCTTATCGACACTGTCATCACCAACAAACCCAGGTTGCAACGAAGACGATCTGGATGCTCCAACCCCATGTTGGAAAGCCTTGCCGACACGTGAGCCTAAGACCTTTGCCACATGCTCAGCTTGGGATGCGACAATCTTAAGAATTTTGCATTCATCTTCATAGACCGCTTGAAGATAGTCTCGGTCATCATCGGCATCTACACAGTCACACTCAGAAAAGAGGTTCCTAAAGGCGTGTAACTGGTCGTCTGTGAGTTTGAGCCGGTCTTCATTGTCAGCATGTATGGCATTGAGGAATATGATGAAGTGTTCAGTTTCCTCGATTTCCCACGCAGTCGCCAGCATGCGCTGACGCGCAGTCTCACGAGCTGCAAGCTGTGCCTGGTATCCTTTGTACAGAGTTGAAGGATGCATTTGCGCAAGGCCATTCTCTAAGTATCCAGCATGCTTTATAAAATATAAATGAGTTGTTTGGATGGAACTGGATAGAATAATAATACCTTGAGAAGAGATTCGCTGGATACATAAGGTCTGCGTTCCCGCCCCATAAGATGCGCTGCAAAACGAACCTCGAGTGGAGCTGGGTCAGGGGGGTATGGTACAAACTTCCTGCTCATTCTGTCACGTATAAACTGACGTCAAGCACTGCGAGAAAGATCTGGAGATGCGGGTGGATTATAAAATAAGCTGTTTGATCCCTCAGTAGCAGAAGCCGGAGTCACGGGCAGAGGTGTCTTCTCCGCTGAGGAGATACCTTTGAGGGAAGCACATAGGTCAGAATGTCTGGTATCAGGAGAACTCTCTGAGAGATGGAAAGAATCAAAAAGAGGCGACCCAGGAGCTGAAGAAGATCCCGATAGAGGAGAGGATGGGGGACTGCTTGATGGAGGGAGGCAGTTGCCGGGACTGCTGGGTCGAGTTGGAGATGAAGGTGGAAGTGAGGGTGACATGAACAAATATCAATGTCGGCAAGACAGTGTCTCTCTAGCCTTCAATGCAGGCTGATAATAGTACAGCGAATACACCAATACCCTGTGAATACACTGGCAATGTCAGCAAGCAACACAGCAGAGTTTGAAAGACTAGACTCCAACGCTGACCCAAGACTCCAACGCTGACCCATTGCCCAAGTAAATGTGCATATTATCCATTAAGTTGCTTTGACTATAGCTTTAGTATGCATACCTTTACCAGGCTGTGTCCCAATTGCAATAGGGAGTTCCCTTCGATCGAAGCAGTCGTTCTGCATCTCAATTCACAGTCTACCTGCTGGCCGCACGAAGCACGTTCACAACAATCAGCCGTTCCCCCTGGGTTGCGAGGTCCGCCATCTAATACCACTGGCCATTGTCATCCTCGCTCTGGATACATCTTTGGTATCGGTAAAAACCTATATGACAGGTTGCAGGACGATCAATATAATTATCAGCGGGAGATAAACACTTATTATCCTTTCCATGACGAGGGGGAGTGGGAATTAGCTAGTTTCTTGATTCAAAACCTGAATCAGACTCAAATTGACAAGTTCTTGAAGTTGAAATGGGTAGGAGACTCTAAGCACTATTCGACAAGTCTGACTCTTTCACAGTTTAGCACTCGCCCAAAACCATCTTTCACCTCAAAAGATCAACTTCTAGATTGGATGGACGCACTACCCTGTCTTGCAGAGTGGAAAGTTTCAAAACTAGAGTTTACAGGCTACAAGACTGTCCATCCCATTCAGCTCATTTGGCGCGATGCTCTAGAAGTCGTCAAACAACTTTTCAGTGACCCAGTTTTCACCAATAATATTACCTTTCAGCCCCACGTAGTTCATGTTGGGAATCAGCGCGAGTATGGAGATTATATGAGTGCTGATTTAGCATGGAAAATTCAGGTAAGTTTGCCCTGCTTAGTCGACTACTCAAAGATTGATTCTGTGTAGGACTGTCTCCCATTAGGTGCTACACAAGTACCGATCATTTTAGGGTCCGACAAAACTCCTGTGACGAGGACCACCGGGGGACTTGAGATGCACCCCATCTTCATCACCATCGGTAACCTTGATTCAGAAGTTCGCTCCAAGGCCACACTCCGAGCTTGGCGCTGTATTGCTTACATGCCCGTCGCTAAGTTTCGCGTGCATCCCGATTATCAAACCATTCTTCAGGCGCGGCTGTGGCATAAGTGCATTGACCTTGTCTGCGCCAACCTTAAACAGGCAGCCAAAACAGGCTGCTTTATGCCTGATCCTTCCAGATTTATTCATTATGTCTATACGCCACTCGTTGCTCACGTATGTGACCTGCCAGAGGCTTGCATGATCGCTGCGGTTAGTAAAAGTGCACCTCCTTTAACAATGGCATCACAAGAAAATTTTGGTGATGGGGTTCTCTACCCTCCTCGTACTGGGCAACACACACTACAACTTATCTGTGAGATCTCCCAAACAATCAATGTTTGGGATCTCGACAAATTCCAGAAGGCAGCCAAAGCTGTCCATCTATCTGGAGTCCACATGCCATATTGGCGTGACTGGATCTACGCATGTCCGTCTGTCTTTCTCGCTGGCGAGATCTTGCACACCTGCATCAAATTTTTTGCTGACCATCCGCTCACCTGGATCAAGGAGGTAGTAGGAAAATCCGAACTCGATGCTCGCTACATGAATCAGCATAAGTGGGTGGGAACACGCCACTTCACCAAAGGTATCACGCACGTCAACCAGATGACAGGTCGTGAGCATCGAGATATTCAACGCACCATTGTTGCTTCGATTGCAGGTGTTGCTCCACCTAACTTCATTCACGCAATCTGTGCCCTCGTTGACTTCATTTATCTTGCCCAAAATCCGATTCATTCTGCAGAAACCTTGTCGTCAATGATGCAGTCCCTTTCAGACTTTCATACATTCAAGCACGCTGTCATCGAGGCCCAGGCTCAGAGGGGGAAGAAAGGTGTTAAGGAAGATTTCTTCATTCCTAAACTCGAGTTGCTCCAAAGCTTCAGAGGCACAGTCGAGAGACTGGGCACTTTGATGCAGTTTTCGGCGGATATGACGGAGCGCTTGCTCATTACTCACTGCAAGGATCTCTTTGTACGAACAAATCGACGAGTCAACGACTTTGTGGAACAGTCTGTACGGATTCTCAACCGCCAGGAGTCAATAGAGCTGTTTAATTTGTACGCACTGTTCCGTTCTCATCATGCATCACTTGTCAATGTGATATGCACTGAGGATGAGGCAGTGACAACCGTCAATCCAGCGCTCTCCTGGGTTTCTCATGTTCTCCCTGATGAATCGCACTCTGTTCACGGACCTCGGCCAGTTCGTAACCATTTCCTCAAGGGCATTCTTTCCGGAGATGCACTCACTGCCTTCCATCTGACGTCGACATCAGATTTCAAATCTTTGTCGCCCACCGACATTCATACCATATATTCGCTCATTGATTTTGATCATGCACTCTCTCAGTTCATCAAATGTTTTTCTCTCTCCACCGGCGAGCATACCCGCTGGGACCACAAATATGGACGCTTTCATGCATGGAAAAAATTTCGATTACAGCTTCATTCGGCCTTCCAGCCACGGCTGATCATGCCCAGCAGAGTGATCCAGGCATATCCACCAGATAGCAGATTCCCCCTCGGAAACTGTGATAATGTCCTCGTCGACGTCACAGGCGACGATGGCCAGATCAGTATGTCATTTTTGTTTTTATGTTCCAGCACTAACGAGGTTATGTTCAGTAAGTCGTATCGCACAAGTTCGACTTATTTTTCAACCGACTCTTCCACATGCTTCTGACCTAGTTTTGCCATCATATCTATCCCATCCGCTGCTCTATATTCAGTACTACGACTTTGTCGCCAGTCCCAATGACCGGCCTGAACTCGCGATGTGGACAGTAGAACGCTCATATGTGGAAGACCAACACGGCAAACACAGATGTGGTGGTGTGGTTCCATTGACAAGTGTAACACACACTGTCGAGTTGATCCCAGAATATGGCCAAAAGGTGGACGAAAAGATTTCTTCAGCCATTTGTTTGGAAAGTTATGACCGCTTTTTTCTGAACAATTTCGCGGATAAGGACAGTTATCACACATTGAGTACGGAGTTCGCATAGTATCAGTAGCTCACAATAGCAGCACATATAGTTTTGAATTCGTGCATTAATCTCTGCGAAGCTTTATGAGCGTCACTAGCAGCTAATTATGAGTGGCCCAAGTCTAGGGTTTGTGAATAGCACAAACCCTAGACTAGTAGTTCAGCATCGAGATATTTACAGTGTAACTACAGAAAAATCTGTTCCACCAATCACGTTGCTCCGATCACCAGGTCGTAAGCTCACCGTAAGCATCAAACTTCTTTTTGACAAGCGAAATTTCAAGGCCTTTTGCTGATGTGTGAGCCTGAGGTGCTGGTCACTCAGGAACACTCAGAAGGAACGGCGCCATATGTTCAGCTGAGCGGGTCTCCACCAGTTCACTGATAATGATTGGCATTATCATGCAGGACTAGAACTACTACCAGGTTGTGCATTCATCAGTCACCCGACTGAAGGCATGAATGAACACGTCCAGGAGAGGAAGGCGAAGCTTGGGTGCCGTGGAAGTCGGCATCATGATCAATATTAATATTCTTGAAGGTGCAAGCATCGAGAACCTCTGAAGAATTGGGGCAAAGGCACCGAATACACCCCCAGCCCACAGCTAATAAGGACGACGGGAAAACACTAATCACACTCTAAAGCGCATGTGACACTACCGTATTGAACGCTGGCAAAGTCAAGGATCCATGTTTGTCGTTCCTTCCGAAATTCGCTCCGAACTCACTTCCTCCTGTCAACTTTGGCAGATTCTAATAGCTCCCAAGTATAAGCAGATCCCATTCACATCATCGCCTGTTTCATACTGCCTCAACGTCTATAAAGTACTGAACGTCTCGATCGTTCTTATCGATGCATGAGAGGTATGAGCCATTTGTCACCGCACATCTGCCGCCACTCCACCAAGGTCGGTGTCTGCAGCCAGTCTCGCCCACATGGGGTCTGCAGCCAATCTCTACCGTCCCTGGTATGGAGCCAGAATTGCTCGCCTGGGGTATGGAGCCACTGTCGCCCGTCTTGAGTTTGTAGTCAGTCTTTTACACCCGGAGTCTGAAGCCAGTCTCGCCCACTCGGGGTCTTCATCCACCTTCGCCCGCCTGAGATCTGCACCCAGGCTTGCTTGCCCGGGGCCTGCACCCAGGTTTGCTGGTCGTCTTGATCCTGAAGCCAGTCTTCCTCGCTTCCGACCAGTATTTCTTTCCTAATCCCGTGCAGTAGCCAGTCTTTCCCTACTCGTCATTATTTTTTTGTCTTTAGTTCAGCAGCCAGTTTTTCCCAGCTTCAATCCACAGCAGCTAGTTGCGACCCTCTACAGTCTCTAGCCAAGATTGTGAATGTGAACTGCGATCTCCCCAAAGCCATAAAATAGCGCTAAGGACTGACAGTGGCTCCGGCGGTTGAATGAGGAAGGCCAATGAGTGCTTTAGTACATGGGGGCACTCGCGTTCCATAGCGCAGCTCTGCTCCTCCAATTGCGAGAGGGCATCAAGAAGTGCAGCATTTTTTGGAATGCCTTTCATCATCAAGCGGAAAGAGGAATGGACGAGTAGGCAGTGAGGTGATGGCATATCGTGTACTTGACAGAGGCTGTAATTTAAGGTATCTGAAACATAGTCGCGAATGGAGGAATGATAGATATTCACGGGGAGAGTGCTGTCTGCAGGGATATCCATGACAGACCGCAACTGCATCAGAGTCGTCTCGACATCCTTGCCCAAACTGGGGCCAAGCAGTGTCGAGATTTGCGAGAGAGGCAGAGGATCTGTGAGAGCAGCAACGACAGACAATTGCAGATATGCCCGCTTAGGGTCGGCACACGTAGAGAGGATACAATCGTAAAACTTGAACACATCTGTTCCCGGTAGCAGCTCGCTTGTTAGCTCGAGCATCAGCATCAGCTGATCGTAGGGATCATTGTCTTCATTGTCGATAAACTTCATCATCGTAGACGCTACAATGAAACGTCCGCCCGCCCGGCTTGCAAGTCGCTCAAGTTGTTCAGTCGATGGTTGAGGAAAGTCAAGATGGCGACTCCCCAGCTGTCCGAAGGAATGCCGCAAGAAGATATAGATGTCATTGTCGACATTAGCGCTGTCCAATGAGATGATGCTACCAATGCCCTTTCCAGAGATGGTCGCTGGTATCTCGCACACCAACGACCGCACTTCTTCATTTTCCATGGTTCTACATATATGTAATTCCGAGCGACTTGTGAGAAGAATGTGGATCGCGGGCAGATCAGGCTCATGAAGAACCCGTGCAAGGGAAAGGATGAGATCGGCAAGCTCAAATTCGGATGTGCACTCATCAAGGGCATCAACAATAAAAGTCAAAGGCTGACACCCACGCAATCTGAGGTGAAGCCCACGGAGTGGTTGGAGAAAGAGCGTCTCCACCTGGACGCGGAGAGACTTGCTGGGATCTAAGAGAGCGGGATTGTCGCGGATCGATTTGCTCACACCCGCCCGGATGCTGGGAAAATTGCTAGCAAGCTGATAGACAAGTGTCGCAAAAAAATATGCGGTCGTGCAGCGTTCGGTGTGTTTTTGTGAGAAAAAGAATGTTCCTGCGAGCCGCTTTTCTTCATTCGTCTCCTCTGTCACTTTTAGACTTCTCATCCTTTCAGCTACAGTGAACGCAACGGCAGACTTTCCAACTCCAGCAGTACCATGTAGCCAGATGAATCGACTTTGCCCTCGGTTGTCTAGCAACCTGTAGATGTAGTCGAGAAGGTCCACCCGAGTCCCTTCCAAACATTTCGGGTGGGGCTGTCGTTCACGGGAGTCATATTCTGCGCCATGGACAGCGACTTGAGACAGCCTCGCCCAAGTTCTTTCAAGCGATGACAGGACTGCTAATGGGATTAGAGAGTAAGAGAGGGATAGGATAGAAATGCTGACAATAATCCTGATTCATTTACGATAGTCGTGACACGACTGTGTACTGGAATGAAACTAGATACTAGCTGCGTTTGAGAGTAGGGTTAAATATCATATTGGCGAGTCTCAAGGAACAACGTACGACGGTTTAAACCAGACTTTCTATATAAAAAAAGGTCGCGAGATGGCCAAGTTATCGAGTGACACGCAATGTAGAATTGTGAGATAGATATTCTATTGTCACGATCTCGGGACTATGAAAAGCCTGCTGAGTGATGGTGGAATGCGCGGTTAAAGAATGAATTGGCTTCCATCTGCTTCAAAGTCACGAGACTACTGCGCATGCTGACATCAAACATTGCTGGCGCTCATCTGCTTCAAGGCCGCGAGGCTGCTGTGCATGACATCAAACACTACTAGCCCACATGGGCTGCTGCTTGGTACCGTATAGCAAGACAGAACCGCCAGATGACGGTGCACGTTGGAGTCTTGGGATCCAGAGGTCAAATTTTGTGGACAGACTTAAGAGTTGAACGCACCTTAATGTAAATGACTGAATCGACATAGACTTTCCGGAACAGTCATCTTTCCCGGTCCCACCTCCTACGGTCTACTTCCATGTGGAGTAGAACCTAGAACCTGTACTGCTTTTTGTACTTGCTGCCAGTCCTGTGTGTGTGAGTGTGTGTGCACTGTGGACGCGATAAGGACAAGTGTGGGTGCTCAAGGGTTGTTGTGGTTGTCTATTTGGCAACAGCTCCCATTCCTAACAAAGCCAAACATTTTCTCCTGACTCCAAGTCATTACTTAATTGATCCGATTTATCTCCATGATGGACTACGTAGAACAGCCGAATAGTAATCTGGTGCGTCGATCCACGTTACATCAATTCATTCTCACAATCTCTGTTTAGATCTGCTGCATCTGCCAGTAAGCTCACTACCTGTATTAAAACTCTTGTAACACAACTTCGTGTAGTGCCCCATTCACAAATCCTACGACCGCCCGGACGTGCTTGCACACATTCTGTCATGACTGTATCGCAGTAGCCGTACAACACTCCCCGCAATGTCCCATCGACCGCTCCTCGCTTTCACTTGACGATCTATCGCCAGCGAATCCAATTGTGAAACACGTGAGTGAAGTCCGTACTAGCACAGTACAGGAAAAATACTGACATAACAACCTCAGCTTGTCGATGAACTCATCATCGAATGCCCTAACCGAGTATCCGGATGCACGCAGACATTTCAAAGACAATTATTATCCGCTCATGTCAAGGACACCTGCCTATACGTTGAGATTCCATGTTCGGAAGAGCAATGCGACAAGCTCATCCTTCGGAAGGACGTTGGTAAGCATAAAGACGCTTGCGTGTACCGCTCGACGCAGTGCGACGGGTGTGGCACGACCATCAAGTACAGCGATCTCAGTGTTCGTGTCTATGACAATTGATTATTAATCTACTCACCCAAGCGTGGATAGACTCACAACTCGGAGTGTCCTTCCAAGTCTGCAATGTGCAGTTTCTGCTTCGAGGAGTTCCCGAGGTCACAATCACAAGCGCACGCTGCCACCTGTCTCGACTATGAAATTCCATGCACGCAGGCTAACAACGGCTGTTCCTGGACTGGTCCCCGACATCAGCTCTCTGACGAACACGCTCTCTCCTGCCCATACGAAGCTATCAAAGGATTCTTTTCTATCAACAGTGCTCAACTATCATCACTAAACACGGAAAATGCCGCTCTCAGACAAAAAGTCTACGCACTCGAATCCGTCGTCCAGACGATGCGAAGAGACATCCAAACCTTCACAAATGTCCTCGGTCCATGGTACCGGTCACACATTCAAAGCCAAACCCCACCAATCACTTCCTCATCCATCAACGCCTTCGATCACCTGTTCTCGGCACCTCCCGGTCCTTCTTCTTCTTCTTCTTCCTCCAGAACCACTACCAATCAAGCTCAACCATCTTTCTCCGCAGATCACGGAGAACTCACGTCCCATAACGACATCGACGCGCTCGCACCCTACTTCCCACTCCCACACGAACATGCATTCCAAGAATCCCATAATCATCCCCGATCGCGCCGATCGTTCAGCGGAATCGTAGATCCACACTCGTCTCAACGCACACTGCCATTAACGCCTGTTGCACCTCTTAATCTCAGTACCTCCCTCGAGGGCTCGCTGAGTAGCTTACGTGACTCCATAGCCGCCGTATCCACATCCGTCGATTCCTTAGCGCGTCGAAACGACATCGCGCTCACGAATGAGAGCATGCGTCTGAATGAAGAACTTGGCTCTCTCAAATACGCCGTTCACGGCATACGACTGCAAGTACGTTGCGCTTGCAATCTTGTTATCTTATCAATTCATTTTATCTCCATTTCAATCTGCATCATGCGGCATCATTCTAATGATTTTTTGGGCGCAGCTTCACCGTTTGATGATGGACAGGAATGCACAGGTGACAGGGAGAGGTGGAGAACCGCCTTCAGGTCCATCCGGCAATCAGACTATCTTTTACCCTCCGATATCGATGATGACACCTTCGTTTCCTGGACCGCCTGGGACAAAGCTCTAACCAAGTTCTGCGGTTTATGGGCCGTTCGATATCTTGCCATCTTACTGTAATTGATTTGATCATCATATGTTTATGGGTTTCGTCCGATAGGCCACTGCTTAAACCGAATATCAGTATTTCTCTAAGATTGGGGTACAGGCTCAAGAGTCTCGTCCAGGTCTCTACCTGTCTTCGTTTCAACTTCTCCGTAATCTGAAACTAGCCACGGCGGCCATCGCCTGGCCTACCCCTGTACACGACGCGACCCTGTCGATCCCCCAAGACATATTGCACCAAGATGGCTGCGACTGAATTCACAAAGGGATTAAACTAAGTACATTAATTTAAGTAGAGCCAGAAACCCGAGCAAAATCGCACGAGACGAAAATATGATGGGATAAAGATGGTGTTGGATGAGCAAAAAAAAGAGATGGAGATGGAGATAAGAAACTAAAAAAAATAAAGGCAAGACAAGACTATGGACTATGATGGACGACACAAAACAGAGAACAGCAAGCATGACCAGATAACGACGAGCAGAGGGGAGTAGCTAACGAACGAGTGACAGGGTGATGGACAACGGGACGAAAGGGACATGCTGGCAGTGCAAGTGCTGAGTGCATCAGTATGAGTATTGAAAAAAGTAAAAGTAAATAAAGTGATGGACATAAGGCACAACGAAACGACAGGTTCGAAAAAACCCATGAGACCACGACCGAATTAATTTGCAGCGACCACGGAATAATAGCAGCGAGCAAAGGCAGTAGTAAATTATGGTACATGCGAATTCCAGACGGACGAACGATGAGAATGGTAAGATATGGACAGCGGTCCAGGAAAGTCGACGGCCGCCTCAGCTATACGCACCAAACCGCTCCCCACCATGCCCCACGCTATTTGAAGGAGGTACAGCAAATGTGTATTCAGCCGGAGGCGGCACATACGAGCTCATACTGCCACCGATTCCAATATTGGCAGACGGAGCAGAGCTCAATGCAAAACTGCTCTCTGCTGGGTACTGCAACCCAGGTTGGGCGTATGAGTTCTCCGTGGGAGGAAACGTGCTATCCCGCGGAAATGGTGGATAGTTTCCTGTATGGGAGTATTGGTTGGACTCTGGGCCGAAATGATATGCGTTGGACGGGGCCGTCGTGTCTACGGGCGTGGGATATGAGGAGCTGTGTTCGATGTTGTTCTGAATATGATTGTGCGGCACTCCTTCTTGGATGGTGGGTATACTGGGCCTGCGGCTTGCTGTGGCGGGCTCCGTAGGACTTAGATAGGTGTTGGCGCTAGTTTCAGGTGGGAGCTGCGTAGCCACACATCAGCATCTCATCAGAAACGTTGAGGTAAAATGACTAATTACAGGATTGTAACCAAACGAAACCTCACTCGTTCGCAGACCCGAAGGGCCAGGGTCCTTGTTGTATCCAGGGTGTGGACTTCCGCCGGGTGAAACAGTGGAAGCCGGGGAAGAGTACCCTGGTTCCTGTGATAACAGGTGCTCCCTGTGTTGGTAGGAAAATGAAGACGCGGCGTTTAAGTGAGCCTCATTGAGCGATCCTTGGCTGGACCGCATGTTCAAACCGGACATACGCGTTTCGAGGTTGGATGCACTGTAACGTAAAAAACATCAGCGAACGAACGTATCGATCATAAAAGCGCAGCATACCAAGACCCTCTCCTGCCATTAGAATCAAAGTGATCGACGCCAACACAACTGCTGACGTCCGAATAAATTGCACTGGTTGCGCTGGTGTCGCTCCCACAGATGCTAGCAATCGAGCCGAATCTAGATAATCCAGTAGAACTGTACGAATCCTCCGTGTCCTGATCTGCCTCGTTGCGAGGAAACGCCCATGCGTGCATGTTCCCGGGAGATTCTGCATCCGGTGAGACATGTGGAGGGGACCCAGAAGTCGGAGCGCCAAACTGGAAATCAGGCTTTGGCAGGGGTCCAGGAATAGGCGACGGGAGCGCTCTAGAGCTCATTGTAAAGCGGTTGTCCGAGAGCCGGCGTGGCACGTGCGAGGACGGAAATGGTGGACGAATCTCCGGTACAAGGGAGGAGCGAGTAGGCGTGAAGACATGGGGCTCTGACGCTCTATGAGCCAAAGAAGGGCGGGTGTAAGGGCTGTAGGAAGCAGAAGAGCTGTAACTTGTTGCACGTATGCTTGGCCCACCGAGGCCGGACGGTGAACGGGCCATGGACTGACCCGACCCTGCAGGAGATATGGGCGGCCTGAGAAAGATCGCGTCATTCTTCTCCTTTGCAACGCGTGCGAACGGATGATGCATGAGCCTAAGGAGACTGACGTCCATAGACTTGCGTCTATCCGGGAAGTGGGAAGACGGCTGGTTGGCGTCTGTACTTGGCGTGGACATGGTGATTGGCAGCGACCCTCTACGTGTGTTCAGAAGATCATTATTGTCCTGCCAAGTCAAGTCCGCTGGCAAATGGCGAACATGAGGGGGAATTTCGGCAGGAGTGGCTGGGTTACTGTGCCAAGCTTCTGTAGGAGGCGCAGGAAGAGTAAAGGAAAACTTCGTAAGAGGACTTTCAGCTGTTGGTGATCGCTCCACTGTGTGTGGCTCTGGTGAGGGTGGTTGATCGTCTTCTGCAGGGTGCGTGGGTTTTTCCGTGGGGGTGGAAGAATTGGAAGAGTCATTGGGAGAGGTGTCCCTGGAGGACTGAGACTTTTGAGGAGAGTGAGCCGAAGGAGAATCCTGCTGAGTCGAGTCCTGAACTCTTTTACG